CGTTGTGGTGGTGGTGGCGGGGGGGTAGTCAGCAAGCAACAGTAGAAGCATCGCGTGACCTCACGCACGCATCGGATAACGCGCGGCTTGTGGAAACGTGTGCGGCCTGCGGGGCCGCGCGCGACAAACTCAGCGCACGGGCCACGTGGCGAGATGAACGACTTCTCCACGCAGGAGGTGCCGTGGGGACTGTGGGATAGGACTCCAGGCAGGGTGGTCCAGATGTTTTCTGATTCCCCCCCCCGCCGCCGCCACCCCCCAATTAATTGACCCCGAACATTTTGTTTCTCGTTACATATTAATTTCTGTTTTAAATTCACCTTTCTTAACCAAATATATATTAACTTAAAGCTTTCGTGACTGTAGGAATTCATACTCTTTGGGTCTTTGTCTTTCGGTACAGTCACGTCGATATAATTTTTCACTTGAGGACGATTGCTTGTGTTGCCATCTCAACGTCGTTTTTTAAAACTATTTTTGTAATTATTTTTATATCGACGTGACTTTACCGAAAGACCGAAAGAGTATGTAAATAAATATGAAGCGTTAGAGAAGTAAATGGGGGTCACAAGACATCTGGACCCACCCTGCACATACCCCTTCTTCTGTCAACCCACTGCTGAATGAGGACCTCCCCATCAGCCCTATAACGTCGGATTGGGGTGGGGGGTGAGTTCCCTCCCAGCCCTCCCCCCCTTTTTCAAAAGTCTTAGACGTGGCCGAAAATGTCGGTTCAATATTTAACAGCAGTGATGGATTTTCCTTCGGCATTTCAAATGCTAACAACTAACACGAGCGTGGGAGACATCGAGCAGAGTGGCACGATCGACAAAGGCAGATCGTGTCGCTTATACTCATACCGTTTCGGCGTTCAACACTTGGTTAAAGTTTATTTAACATTGACTGTGTGGTAACCCACCTCCCATAACACTTTAAACAATGTTACTATTGGGCCGCTCCTCACGCCGTGTCGGTCGTGGCGGTTGTTCGACCATACTTCACCGTCCTGGTCAGCACGGTGGGTATGTTGCTGTACAAGTACAGTACTGCTCTCTGCCCCCCCCCATACTGCTCACGGCGTATAGCCCCGACCAGCATTGGATGAAGTCTTGTCCGGAAATTCGGTTTCCGATGCAAACTTTGCTGGACACTGAGTGAAGTTACGTTTTGTGAGTTTACCGAATCTCAGAACCGGGCAGTCATATTTTTATGGTGATATACAGGGTGCTTAAAAAAATGTCAAACTTATATGGGCCTATCGATTTTCATGTAAAAAGAACGGATAATACATTGTGACATGATAGCACATGCATGTTAACAGCTTCAAAATGTCAAAGAGTATCCACGTGTTCACCATCATTGTCAGCACATGCCTGGAATCTTCTCCAGGTGGTCCCCAGAGCATTGTGGTATTGTTGCAAATTCTCACAAGTGTTAACATTTTTGTAAAGCCCCCTGTATATTGTTTTTTACCACCAGGGCTGTGAAGTCTTACAGGCAGCTGACCCTGTCACGTGTTTACACGAGACGGCGGCAACCCTTTGTTACCAAAGAGGGGCATCTCTCGTGGACCATGGCTCCCTTCCCGTGACATCGCTGATCTCGCCAAGAAGCACAAACCATCACGCGAACTCACTCCGGTCATCCATGCCACAGCAGCAGCTGATTTTGGCTCAGCCATCGAACAAAGACGAATCACCGTATCGCGCGCTTTCAGATGCGCTTCTGCGGCTGTCTGGAGCGCTCTTCCGTCCGATATTAGGAAGCCACTGGAGCTATATGCACTTTTAACACTGATTTATTCACAACAGCTTATTGTGTGCTTAATTTGTTGTCCTTCCCCGGCACGTCCGATGTCCGCGGTTAGCTATGTACGGTGCGAAAGAAGTTCAAAATACATTGTTTATATAAAGATACCTATTTTCTGCCTATCTGTTGTGTTACTTATTTTATCCACAACGACGCTGGTATGTGGTGTGCGTTGTATAATTTTGCGTTTTTACGAACACATACAAAAATGATTTTACAGTAAGTGGCCAGAGGCAATGCGTTATGCAGTAAAGAGCCCGAATGTGTGTACATTGGACAGTACGAAGTCACAGCAATAAATGTGAACTTTTACATGAGTGGTCCTGATAATATCCAACTCATAAATCTCAGTCACACTTTTACGGAAGAAAAAATGGATCGCTATATGTCACAAAGTTGTGGGGCGAAACCCCATTTCCTCCGCAGAGAGATGTCTCAAATATTTCAGTGTAAGGATTCCATCCACAGTTCACAGCATTCCATGGCCTACGCGGCCTTCTGGGAGCGCAATAGCTTTGGGCTTTTCGCAATATTCGTTCAAGCCGAAGCTAAACTCCGAATCGGTTTTCGACGGACGGAAAGCGCATCTTCTGTTTGGGCTATAACGGGGATCTTTGTCTTGTACGCGCGTGTATATGTATGGAGAGCGGTGGCGCAGTGGTTAAGGCGCTGCGCCGCAAACCCGGCGAACCCGAGTTCGATTCCCGGCTCACGGCCAACTACAATGACGATTATCTGAACCGGACCTGGGCCACCCCTAGGTCGACTCAGCCTCAGATGAGTACCTGTTGCGGTGTGTAAACATCGCCACTGGAGAGACAAAGGCCGTCGGGCGTGGTGTTGGCCATCCACCCCCTCGTGTGCCGTGCCGGCCTTCATAGGTGCTCGCTAACAGCACGTGCCCCAAAATAATGTAAAGGCTATACGGGGAGTCTTTGTCTTGAACGTAACTGGTATGTGCTTTCTTTAACATGCGGAGGGGTCTCCTGCTCTTCACTACTTTCCTCTCGGGGGGAGGCGGGGATGAGCTCAGAGAGTCTCTCTGTTGACCGTTGCGGAGTGTTTACCCTCACTGCCAATGCGATCAGTGGTCGAGTTGTATCAAATATCTTCAGTGACATTTTCCCTTCACTTCGATTCCGATGTAAAATCAGTGTGAATGAAGGGGTCATTTTACGCAACTTACCACGTGACTTAATTTCAGCTGCATGGGTTTGTCCGGGTCAGCGAACTGAAAAAAAAACTAAACCATATCCGGCATACAACATCCAGTATACATCTGGCTCTGGCTATGGCTGGTCGTCACGTGCCACCTACTCCAAACTACCGGACAGCTGCAAAGTATTCAGTGAGAAATTGAACCCCGTATGGGATCAGACAAGACTCGTTATTCGCTGGCATTGCCCGCATTGTCAAGGATGTCTGTATTAGAATCAGGATCTTCATTTACACTTAGAGGAATCCGATGAGCTATACAGCTTTGTTTCACAGATATCCATTAAGGGCGGATCAGAAAGTGACAACAATATTCAACAAATTTCAAATCCACGATAGGAGTGCATAATATAGGAAAGGTAAGAAAATCACATTCAAAAAATTATATTTGTATTTGACCAGGTAAAGCCCACTGAGATATTAGCTTCTTTATCAGGGACGCATCCCTAGCCGATTCTCAAGGCAGGTGCTGTTATGGCAGCCAAAGGAGAGACGATGCTTGAGAGGGTGGACACCCTGCTGTTATGGCAGCCAAAGGAAACTGTTTCATCCAGCAGTGGCTGCTGCTGATGATGAAGATGTACGCACGTTTGCGTGTATCCATGTCACTCACTGTGTATGAGCTATGTTGCCGTCACACCGAGCCCGTTCGCTTGGCCCCCGGGGGTCGTGAGAACTTGGCAGCGGTGCAAAGGGACGCGTTAATGATTGCCGAAATTCCATGAGATGTCCAGACTGTGACACTTTTGGAGGATTGCGATTTATTCCGCCTGCATGCGGCTTATTAAAGTCGGCGGAGAGACCGAGAGAGGCACGGGAGGGATCTGGAGAGACGAGCAGACAGGAGAACGGCAAGCGGGAGACGTAAATGTGCCGTTAGAAACAGACCACTGTGCTGGAAAGCAGGAATACATTGCAATAGGATGACCGACATTACGAAGAGGAAGGGAGAGGTGCAAGGGTACCGGGAGAAAATGTTGTATGGTTTGTTATTGTAACGTTCTGACCTTACCACCGACTGGACATCTGTGGAACAAAGCGCTCTATAACTCATCGGATTCCTCCAGTGTAAATATTCTGATTCTAATTCTGAAACACAATCGTGTAACGGCACCGGGGTGGGAAAGCATTAGGTCCCTAGTGAGACTTCTGAGAAGCTGAGAGAAGGATACACGTGGGGACGTGCTGTACGTGAAGACAGAGACAAGGCCGTGGACGGAAGGGCTTGAAAACGGAGATAGGGCAGGGGCGTAGCTATCGAGTGTGCAGGCGGTGCAACTGCACCGGGAAACCCGTGGACCAGAGGAGCTCTCAGGTGCTACGAAGTGAGTGGAGTGGGGGGGGGGCATTTGGACCGGGAGAGGCCTCATTTCCTTGCTTGCCCCAGGGCCGATGCCACCCACCCATGCTGGGCCACTGAGACGAACAGCGGCGGACGGAACAAAGAGGGGGGGGGGGGGCTGCTGAGTGTGAGGGGGGGTGGGCTGGAGGCAGGAAGGAGGTCGCTGTGGGGAAGATCGGAGAGGGTTTAGGGAAGTTGTTATGGCCTTTGGAGGAAACGTTCCAGCCCGGGCCGCGGCGTCTGACCCACAGGTTCGCATCCTGAGCCGGGTCCATGGTACTGTGCTGAGCAGGGAGTCTTCTTTGCGGGTAAGGGACCTCTCCTCATCACATTATCATCATCGTCGTCGTTCTCATCATCGGCCGTGGTCAATCCACTGCTCATGTTCACTGCCGGCGTTCTCATCGTGGCTCACACTCATTGTCTTTTGAAGCAGCTGAAATTAGACATCGATTTATAGTTGCTGCTCAAGTCAAAAAGTAGAATCCCCCTACTGTATGTATGTTGACCTTCTTTCGCACCGTACGTAAACCAACCGTGCTAATCGGAGGTGCGGGGCTGTGTTTGTGTCACCTGATGACGGTTGCTTGTGTTGCAATCGAAACGTCGTGATCTATGCGACTTTAGTGAAAGAACCAAAGAGTATGGATTCCTGCAGTCACGAAAGCTTAAAATCAAGATAGTATTCGTTATTTTTGCTGTAATCAATCTTGTCCATCCCTTCACGTCTGCCCCCTCTTTGTTTCTACCGCAGCCTCTCCCGAGCTACATGACCTTCGTGCAGAAGGCCACCCTGTGGGGTCAGGGTCCTTTCGCTACCGCGGTGAGTGAGTCCAGCGTGAAGTCTTCGCTTTCAAAAGTCTCGCGCCTCTGTCCCCTAAAGTGTCCATGAGACTATTCGTAATTAAGGGTTTTTTATTGTTTCTTTGGGGGGGGGGGGTAGATCTCGTAAATACGAATGCGTCGTTAGTCCACAACCACCCTGCAACTTCGGGCTGGCGGAGCATTGGCGCAGCGCTGTGTCGCTTCATCATTATCACCATCAGCAGCCACTGCTGGATGAAGGCCTCACCTCAAGCCGTCGCCTCTCTTCACGGTCTTGCGATGGCGTAAATTAATCTCTTATCTGTTTATTCGCTGGTCACATTGCCCCAGCTCCACGGAGGGCTTGCCCCTAATTCCACATTCCACAATCTTGAGAGGTTCCAATACCTCGGGGATTGGAGCGCTGAGATCCAGGTTTTAGCCGCCTGTCATACAAACTATATATTTGTATTGTACCAGGTAAGGCCCACTGAGCTATCGGGAGGTCTGTTTTCCCAGAAGCGACCCTGACCACACATGATGGCTGAAACGAAGTGGCGTTATAACAGCAGCCAAATACTGTACTCTAAAACTCCAACTCTGAGAATGAGCTTAAGGGTCGCGCTGACAGCTTTCGTCCTGCAGCTGGGACGGGTGGTGAAGTGCTGCCCCCTCGTGTAGTGTGCATCAGAAGTCACTTGAAAGGATCTCAAAGGCAGTTCTGAGATATCCACTTCTGCGGGCTAATTCTTTGACCCGGGGTACGGTGCGCGGGGGGGGGTTAAGGAGGCGGGCGTTGGGCTTGACATGGACAGAGCTCAATCGGGATAAGAAGAGGTTGATTTAGAAGCCAACTCCACAGCCAAGTCAAGGCTGACACCCAGCAGCATGCGTTACTGAAGCGAAGCACTGCAGGGGGCGCTACGTGACAGTAATGTGCTGTAGTTTTATTTACGAAAAAAATGCAGTCAACTGCAGCGAATGAGACAGAAATGAAACCGCGCCTAGGATGATTGAAGAGGCTTAAGCGACGGTGGCTTGTGAAGTTGGCCACAAGATAGATGAGAGAAAATCAAAAGTCACTTAAAATCGGTTCGCTAAACAAAATAAAATACGAGTGCCGTAGGGGACACGTCGGGAAGACAGCCGAGAGAGTGGTAACACCGGGAGCGATTGCTGAAGGTGGAGTGGCAATTAATAAACACATTAAATACAGTTTGCAGAGAAAATTGCAGGTGCGGAGTGTTTTTGGGGTAATTGAAGTTGATGATCAAAAGCATAGCAATGTGCCCAGAGAGGAAACATTTCAACAGTGGGAACATAGTCTGTTATGACACGAATGTGGAACACGTGGTTCAGGGAACAGACACAATCTGGACACGTAACATTGCCTATTAAACTACAAAACTAAACTATTTTTCATTTTACCAGGTAAAGCCCACTGAGCTATATGGATATTTTTCAGAAACGGTATGGCCACCAATGATAGTCCAACGAAGTGGCTTATCACGTGCACATCTATAACAGCCAAATACCCTAAACGCGTGTTCATTCTAAATGTGGAGGGGAAATTCGTAGAAAAATCCACGCGACCACGGAGGGAGAGAGAGAGAGAGACCACACGCAAGCTCCAAATATACACCAGGCGTCAGGGTCGGCTTCGAACCCACGACCTGCTGTGTACTAGGCGAGGTAGTTAACATCTCGCCACCGTGGTACCTCTTACTTAAGCAAAGTAAGTGGGGCATGGGCGCGTGCAGAACACGTCGCTAGATAAAGGGCCTCGTGGCTGATGGTCGAGACTGGCGACTGAATGGCAGCCAAAGCAGGGAAACACACCCGAGGGGACGACCGTGACCGAGATGCAGCGATAAGATTGGCTCGCGTGTCAGAGCGAGATGTCCCTGTGACATCATCGTAAGAACGTGAAGGGATGGCGCCTGAGAGGGGAAGCCTCTTCATCAAGCAGTGGGTGGATGATGACACTTTACGATGATGATGATGATGGATGAAAAGTGGCAATAATTGAAACCTTGGAACCCACTTGCAAAGCGAGATGTTCCTTCCATCTCGAGGGGTTTTTCAGGTGATTTTTTTTAAAACTCTTACAAATAATGACCCGCACAAAAGTCTAAAAAAATCTCTCCGCCGGTGCGACCACCTTACCTACCCGTTCGGATTGCCCACAATGCAACAGTGCACGTTTGTCAGCCTCGAATGCGAGTGGTGAACAACAACAACAAAACCAGTCACGGGGAATTGCTGCCCCCCTCCCGTTGAATGTCTCTGATTGATGTCTCCCTCTCTCTCTCTCTGTGTGTCGGGGCCGCGCTCTTTGGCTTGATAAAAGCGAGCCATATTTTACGCGGCAATCGAGGCGCTGGCTGGCTGGCTGGCTCGACAGTGACGCGTTGCCCGCGTTTCCGAGCCAGCGCACCTGTGCTTTATAGCCCACGTGTGTGTTCAGGTGTCACGGACGTGTGCGGGGAGCGCCAAGTGCGGCGACGCTGCCAAAACCTCGGGCCCCCCGGTCCGAGTTCGATTCCGGCCCGCGGCCACCAACACCAGTGACGAATATCTAAACCGGCCTCCCCTAGGTAGACTCAGCCTAAAATGTGTATAACTGGTGCGATGTGTGAACATCGTCACTTGAGAGACAAAGGCGGCCGGGCGTGGTGCTACTCCCCCCCCCCAATTCCCCCCCCCCCCTCATGTGTCATTACGGCCTTCATAGATTGTTGCTAAAGTCCGTAAAGGATATACGGGGGATTACGGGTAGGATTTTCGTCTTTGCGCTTGCGTACGTATTCCGCAAGCTTACAGACAGTTACGGCAGCTGACCTTTGCACCCATTGTTGCATTGTTGCCGGAGCGATTCCATAAATGCCCGAGACCTTCAGATGCTCCGGACCCATCAGGATGCTTCGCTGACTGTGGCAGCACCGTACGCGGTGCTTGCTGTCTGGCTTTGGGGCCACATTTGTGCGTTTTAGAGAGCCACATACGTTCGGGAAAAAAAAAGATGCATATCTTATGCCTTCCAATTGGTGTCTCTCTTTGAGAGTGTTTAATTAGCAGTAAGGTAACCCACGGGTAGCATGCGTATCTGCGAATAGGAATCTTTTTAGATCTGTTTTTTTTGTCTTTTTAGGAGCAATCGAAAAACAGTGCACAAGCTGAACTAAAACTAAACATTTTTTTTTTATTTTACCAGGTAAGGCCCACTGAGCTATATCGTTCTTTTTCAGAAGCGACCTGGCCACAAATAATAACTCAACGAAGTTGGCTTATCATATGGAAATGTATAGCAGCCAAAAATACTATCAACGCATGTTGATTCTAAATGTGGAGGGAAAACACGGAGCACGAGGAGAATCATCCACATGGGCACGGGGAGAACATGCAAACTCCAAATATACAGACGTCAGGGATCGAAACCACGACCTATTGTATACCAGGCGAGGTAGTTAACATCTCGCCAACATGGTGCCAAATTAAAACATGAGACCCTGTTGAATATGGTGTGGTATCATCATCATCACAAGCCATGATCTATAAACTGCTGTATGAAGGCTCCCCCAAGCCGTAGGGTACGAGTTACACATGTACCTGCGTGTGTGTGCCTCTCTGTGTGCCGGGTGTTAGTGGGGAGCGGTCGCGTAGCGGTTAGCGTGCTGTGCTACGAACCTGGCGACCCGGGTTCGATTCCCGCCAACACCAGTGACGATTATTTTAACCGGTCCTGGGCCTTCCTAAGTCGACTCAGCCTCAAATGTGCTGTGCCGGCCTCTTTAGATGCTCGCTAACAGCACTTGCCCCTACAGTCTGGTAAGGCTATACGGGGGATCTTTGTCTTTTGTTGTCGCTGCTGCTGCCGGGTGTTTTATGTTCCGACTGTGCTGCAGCCTGCAGGTCGCTCAGCGGAGAGAGACGAACCGTGTCCACGCTACTTGGCCCACATGCTCCTGACCCCCAAGGCTCCCCCCTGCAGGTCGCACCGAGCAGCCCACCGCCCCCAACGTAGCGACCCCAATCCGCCTCTGCGCGCTTCGAGGGGACCTCCACGGACACGGGACCCCGGGTGCCCGGCTCCCTTCTGCAAGTGGCCCCCGCCCTGCGGTGAGTGGCAGTGCAAGCGTCTGGGAACCACCCCTGCCCGGTTATACGGTTGTGGTATCAATTCTAGATTTGAAGCTTTCGTGACTGCAAGGATCCATACTCTTTGGTTCTATTCGGTGAAGTCACGTAGGTAAAAATAAAACAACAAAAATCACGACGTTTCGGCCACAACACAAGTGGCCTTCATCAGGTGAAGGGACCGGACTGTCCAGAGGACAGCGTTGGAGTGAAGACAGCCAAGCCCAGGTCGCATCCTTTAAGCTGTGTGGGAGGAAACAAAAAACGCCTTGACAAAGGAATTAGCATAAAATGATGTACTGGACCGGCATGGTGGGGGGGGGGGGGGTTACATAATGTTGTTGTGAAGGGAAATAAGCTGCTGTGAAAGTTTGGGATACCACTACTTGAAAAAATATACTATACCATTGAAAATGAGTGTAATGTTTGGTTTGATTTAGAACATCTTTCCAATGATTGCTTAATTTGAAACCATCCTCTCGGTTGAAATTGTGTCTGTGTTTGTAAATCTGAATTGCCTCGTGGACAAATCTCTGATAAAAAAACGTGGGTTTGCAGAGAACCTTGGTATCGGAGAAAATTATATCGTGATCACGAACAGCGTTGTAACAGTGATCAGCTACGGCAGAAGAATTCGTTCTGCCGTGTTTCAAATCTGATTTCGTCTCCCCCGATATAGCAGTCACCACAGGTGGTATCATCATCGTCGTCGTCGTCGTCATCAGCCGTGATCTATCTACTGCTGCACGAAGGCTCCCCTCTGTCCGTCACAATCTCTCACGGCCTCGCGATGCAGCAACCCATCTCGTTTCTGCACGCAGCACGGGGAAGGTCTTCATCCAGCAGTGGATTGACAAAGGGATATACATTTTTTCTAAATGATTATTCTCGGGTCGTGGTGTCTCTATGTTAGTGGGGGGAAGGGGGGTTCTCTTTGCTATATATCTGATTTTTTTTAAGCTTTCGTGACTGCAGGAATCCAGTTTGCATGTTCTCCCCGTGCTCCGGGTTTTCCCTCCACATTTAGAAACAAAATACGTTGATAGTATTTTTGGCTGCTATACATTTCCATATGATAAGCCAACTTCGTTGAGTTATTATTTGTGGCCAGGTCGCTTCCATACTCTTTGGTTCTTTCGGTAAAGTCACGTAGGTATAACAGAAAATAAATCACGACGTTTCGGGCGCAACATAAGCGTCCGTCATCAGGTGGGAAAGCACCTGATGACGGACGCTTATGTTGCGCCCGAAACGTCGTGATTTATTTTATTTTATACCTATGTGACTTTACTGAAAGAACCAAAGAGTATAAGTCTGCTTTTTTTCTCTCTCTCTCAATTCAACTTGCACTATGGGCATCATGCCGTTCGGCACATTTTCAGCAAAATTTCAAAAATGCAGCGAGCGGTGCACCAAAACGTGCCAGAGAGAACATCCCCCGGAAGACGACGTCAAAGGGACTGCCTTCAGAGGTCACTTCAATCGACCTCTTTGTCTAAACGAGGGCATCCATTATCAACGCCCTGTTCCTTGTGCGTCGGTCGAAAACGAAATGTTTAATTCTCAGAGCAGGAGCTTACTCAAATGAAGTGACAAACCGTACGTAGTATGGTTGGCTACATACGGTGCAAAAGAAGTTCAATATACATCCAAATTAAACTTAATGTGATGGGTTTGTTTTGTGGCCAGTTATTGGTGACTGGCCGGCGACCAGCAATTGAATCACAGGGCGGCTACCTGGATCCGAACCCAGGATTCTCAGCAGTGCCAGATCAGAGCTCAGACTCCTAAACCATCCGGCGAACTCTACGTTGGTGTTATTAAGGAAACGTTTTTTTTTACGATTTATTTACTGTTTTATGAGTTGACAAAGTGCCTTTATTGTTCCAACTTGCAAGCCTACAAGCTTGTGTGGCGTTGCTTTAAAGGATGTTAATTTTACAGGAGCCAGTGCGGAGATATTTCAATTGAACATACTTTCCATTGGCAAATGTGAAAGTCATTCATTTGCATGTTTGTGTGTATGTGTGTGTATGTGTGTATGTGTGTGTATGTGTGACCGGCTCCAGTTTAACAGCAGAGGTCTCACTCCGAATCAGTCAAGCGGCAATATCTTTTCATCGGTTGCGTAACGCTGTGTGGAAGCTACCTGGTCTGTCGCTCCGCACTAAGCTTCAGGTCTTCTCGGCTACGATCATTCCCTCCCTTCTCTACGCTTGCGAAACGTGGACCCCCCTAATGGAACATCTTCGCCGGTTAGAAACATTTAGACTAGCCTGCCTACGATCCATCCTGGGTTTAACCAGGCTGGATTGTGTGAGGAGCTCACAAATCCTTGAAAGATCTGGGCAAGGTCCCATCGGTGAGCTCCTCCGGCAGGCAACGCTGCGTTGGCTGGATCATGTAGTCCGCATGCCCAGCCACCGCATGCCGAAACAGCTTTTGTTCGGCCGGATCGAGGGGGCTAAACGGGCGCGGCACGGGCTAGAGAAGAGATGGAGTGATGTGGTACAGGAGAACGTGGAGCTAAGTGGACTTACCGATGACTGGTACCAGCGGTTTCAAGATCGGCCTCTGTGGAGGAGGCTCGTGAAGGACGCTACTGGGCAGTTGGAGGCAGTCGCCCTCCAACAACAACGGAGGGCAGAGGAGCGACGCTCACAACAACGAGCGGAGTGCCGGGTGGCTAAAGCACAGCAGGTTGGCACAGTAGGGGGTACAGGTGGTGCATCAGCCAGTCATCTCAGTCATCTTAGTCAGTCGACCCGTGGCACTTGGGTCTGCCCCGTGACCTCCTGCCAGCAGGCGTTCGACACTTCACGTGGCCTCAAGGTGCACATGGCCTGGCACAAGCGTCGTGGTGACGTCAGCGCCACTTAGTGGCGAATGGCGGTTGTTGTTGTATGTTGAACTTCTTTCGCACCGCACGTCGCCAACCGTATTAAACTGAGGTGCGGGGAAGGACAACAAACTAAAGGCAGAAAAATTATTCACGTGAACAAATGTTCATGATTGTCCTTTTTAAAACATGGTATTACCTTACTTAAAGCTTTCGTGACTGCAGTAATTCATACTCTTTGGGTCTTTCGGTAAAGTCACGTAGATAGAAAAATAATAAAATTCACGACGTTTCGATAGCAAAAATGCAGCAGGCGGACAATAGTCCGCCTGCTGCATTTTTTAACCTGAAGACGATTGCTTGTGTTGCGATCGAAACGTCGTGATTTTGATTATTTTATGATTTTTCTATCTACGTGACTTTACCGAAAGACCCAAAGAGCATGGTATTACCTGATATGATGTGTAGGTTAGAAACTTAGACGAAGACACTGGAATGAAGGATGCATAGCGCGTAAAGAGCCGTGGAAAAGTGCACGCTTGAAATTACACCGAGAGACAGAAAGGGGAACACGTGGATCACGGAACGTGCATAAATGAGACTTTATTTTGATTGTTAAGAAAAGGAAGTGGACTTGAGCAGGACGTGTCACGCGAAAAGATGGCGGAAACTGGCAGAGACGAACGACAGAATTTCGGCCAAAGGAGAGAACACATCTCAGAATCAGAATCATTAGGTTCACTGTTGCATCGTACATCCTGCCAAAAGCAATGGTGCAATAAATAAAAAAATATTCTCATGTTTACGACCTCATGAATAGCGTTCCTTCCACGTTTATGTGCAATTTGCCCACTAACAGATCACTTTAATTATTTCGTTGCCTAGAAAACACTGCGAATGTAAAAAAACAAAACCTCAAAACTGAACTCTACATGGAATTGGTCGCCCCTATAGTTGTGGCTGTCGTTTAATAGGACCCCTCCCGCCCCACCTCGCACCAGAACACCCCCCCCTCCACGTCCCACCCAGTATGGCGAATGGATGCCATGGCCTCACTGAGTGCTGGTGCCAGTATGAATGGATGCCATGGCCTCACTGAGTGCCGGTGGCAGTGTTAATGGATGCCATGGCCTCACTGAGTGCTGGTGGCAGTGTTAATGGATGCCATTACCTCACTGAGTGCCAGTGTGAATGGATGCCATGGCCTCACTGAGTGCCAGTGGCAGTGCGAATAGATGCCATGGCCTCACTGAGTGACAGTGGCAGTGTTAATGGATGCCATTGCCTCACTGAGTGCTGGTGGTAGTGTCAATGGATGCCATGGCCTCACTGAATGCCAGTGGCAGTGCGAATGGATGCCATGGCCTCACTGAGTTACAGTGGCAGTGTTAATGGATGCCATGGCCTCACTGAATGCCGGTGGCAGTGTTAATGGATGCCATGCGAACACTGCCTGGGTGCCTGAGGTGGATTACGGTGACCCCCGCATCTTGCTGCTAAAGCATAACTTTACATAACCCCAGGGTCAAGGCCCAGGCAGGGGCCGTGATACAACGGGCCTCTAAAAAAAACAAACGGCCTCTTTCCTCCCCGTGTCGCTCTGTTTGCCTGTGCGTTTTACGCGCTTTATTATGTTTGGAGACGGTGGCAAACCTCATCCGTGCAGAACTTGTGCACGGTGATGTTATGCTGCTGTTCCCATCCCCCGTGGTGTTATCCATTCGTTTAAACATCAAACCTGTTCTTTTTCTTTTTACATTTCAACAATTTCTACGCCTATCGTTTGAGGGCTCAGTCCTGGTCACAGTTCACGGTGCCGCGCTAGAGGGATGCCACCTTCTGCGGCGCAACAAAAATAAACGGGGGGCATCACAGGAATAAGGAGAATATCTCACGATACCGGAGGAGGAGGAAGGAGGAAGGAGGACTGTCTTGAGTGGTGTCTCGCAAACTGACAAAAATCGGGGCTTTTCGTGTTCCAGAAAATCTTCATATTTTCCAGGGCAGCCCACCTCGATAAGAGGACGATCCTTGGAAGACAACGAATGGCAGTTGGCAACCCTCGCTGACGTCGTACTCCTGACCCAAAAGATAAAGATGCCCCGTATAGCCTCAACATATTGTTGTGGCAAGTGCTGTTAGCGAGCGAGCACTTATGAAGGCCGGCACGGCACACGAGGGGGGTGATGTGGGTGGCCAGCACCATGCCAGATTGCTTTTGTCTCCTTCATGGCGACGATTACGCACCGCATTCAGGTTCTCATTTGAGGCTGAGTCGACCTAGGGGAGGCCAAAATCCGGTTCAGATAATCGTCACCGGTGTTGGCCATGAACAGGAATCGAACTCTGGATGCCGGGTTCGTAGGGCAGCGCGCTTACCACTGCGCTTCCGCTTCCCAGATTGCATTCACACACCCACAAACGACTTGGAGAACATCACTATTATACCATTATCGCCAGCCACCAGTTATCCACCACTGGATGAAGGCCTCCCGAAACCGTTGCCATCATCCCACAGGGTCTTGCAATGCAGCAATCCGTCAAACTCGCTGCATCTATGCGGCAGACCTATTCTCGGACGCATTCCCTACTTGTAGAAGAATATTACATTCATTATTTATTTGAGTCAGTATATATATTTTTAAAATCCAGACTGTACTGCCTTTAAACGTGAAACATTAGTCCATGATCGCTCTGTATCTTTATGATTAATGACCCTCCCATAGCTAAGCCTGAGCAAATTAAACACGACATTAATTACTTGTATTCACAATGTTATGCCTTTGCTGTGTTTTCACTGGTGACTATGCATAGGCCATAAAATACGGGTGCACCCAAGTTCCACTGAGGTTCTAACTCCAGTGAGAGTCTGGGGTTTGAACCTAGGATCTCAGCAGTCCCAATTCACTACCTTGAACACAGACACAGTGTTACCTGGTCATTTGTTGCGGGGTTTTTTTTCGTTCGTTGTTTATATATCGCCGACCAGCGCAGGTGTTGAATGAGCCCAGGTGAGAGCTGTATAGTTTTGTGATCGTGTGTTCGTGTGTGCGTGTTTCGGAGATTCTTGTTTTGCCACAGCTCGTAGCGGGGTAAAGATAACGCGAGACAGACTTTTCTTGTTGTCCTCAAACGTCACCAAAAGCCGCACTCGCACCTCCTCATCGACGCGAAACACCCCGAGTCCCCGCTGGTGTCAGCCGAGCCTGAGCCAACGTGAGGCCCTCAAGGCACGGGTGCTTTTCCACCGGCTGTTTAGGGTGCCGAGCCAGGAACAAACCGTGAAACCTCCTTTTGGCTTCACGACAACATCTGAGTCTGGCTCAAGGCTCGGGTTCTGCAGTGAAAAGAGACAAAAAAACAACAACAACCTGGCCCCGGCATGGCTAAGGTTTGAAGTGGAAAAAAAAGAGCAAAAGCACGGGATGCTTTCGTTTGATTTTCATCGTCAAATATGGTCAACATTTTACTACGACTATCACGGTGGATAGCGCTGGCACAGAAGTCAGGCGCGCTGTGCTTTGAACCCAGCGACCTGAGTTCAAATTCCTGGCCACAGCTCACATCAGTGGTGACTCATATATACGTACAGTATATGTGCATTTCAAAGGATGATATGTAGGCAGTAAAGAGAGGGTGAAATATTTCAAGAACAAATGTTATCTCTCATGAGCAATGGCAGATAAAGATCTGTAGAGGGTAAGAGAGAACGCAGAGCGAAGAGGAGCAAATAGTGTTACTGCAGAGAGATAACGGAGACAAATTGTTGCGCACGGAAAGGTAAAGAAAGACCGATAACGAGAGATAATGCAGCCACTGTTAATGACAGATAAGAAAAGAGTGGAAGAAATTTTCCATTTACCACCCAAAATTGTAACCCCATTGTGTCATCAGCATCACACCATGAGAGATGTCCATTTGGAGATCTGGCAGAAAGGTGCAACCTGTCTTTGTTAGAGAGCAACACTACAACGTGGATAAAGTAGAATGGAGGAGAGACGAAATAGGCGAATGCGTTTTTCGTGAGCAAGGGAATGAGAAGTTAAATTTCGATTTAAAGCTTTCGTGACTGCAAGGATTCATCTTCTTTGGTTCTTTCGGTAAAGTCACGTAGAATGAGAATAAAATAATAAATTGATAAAATAAAAACGTCGTGAGAATATTATTGCGTTATTTTATTTTATCAATGTATTATTTTATTCTCATTCTACGTGACTTTACCGAAAGAACCAAAGAAGATGAATGAGAGTTTGTAAATGAACGGGGACCTGGCAGTGCCCTCCTAAAAAAAAAACTTCACTGTCTCCGCAGCGACCCTGCCGAATCGGAACCTATGGCCACAGCACTGGAGCAAGCACCGCGTCCTCCACCCTCCTGCTCCCTGCTCACCACAGGCCGAGTGGCCTGGGAGGCGAGCGGAACACAAGAACCGGTGCACTGCGGAGAAGAAGACGCCTGAGGCAAGGGGAAGCTGGACACCTCTAGGAGAAAGGAAGCGGGCTGAACCTCTCCTGGATGTCCCGGAGGCCACGGGCAGAGCCGGGGTGGGTGCAGGGGACAGCTGTGGTGGGGCACAGCGTGAGGAAGACCATCGGGATGATCCAGTGGGTATGCGGGGCATGGTGGCAGAGGAGGAGGATAAGGAGGAAGAGGGGGAGAAAGAGGTTGGTGCTCGAATGGAGCAGAAAATGGAGACGCGTAGCCTTACATCTGAAAGGGAGTCGCTTCTGGATACTGGTGAGCCATGCTCCGGCACAAGTATGCACGACCTCACTTTTAATTCACGTGCGCGCACCTCGCACGCACGCGAGTATTATTGATACCGCGCGTCCCATGCAGCACGATGCCCGCATGCACGGAGGTCAATCTTCCTTCAATACTAAGCTCCTCCCTACCCCAGCTGGCCTGGAATCACCCCCCCCACCCCAGCGATCCGTGCAGTCGACTTCCTACTCCCGTTCAAGTCTGTAACCTCAAGAACCTTCCTCTCCTCTTCTCGGTCTCTCCTCGTCTTCTTTGTTACCACGAACACGCTCGGGAATTCCGCAACAGCGTCTCGTTGTGGCAGTTGCAGCTCCATGCTCCAGTAATCCGCACTGTACACTTCAGGTTGATCCAGATGTCTTGTGATCCCCCCCCCCCCATTTAATTCTCTACAACTTAAAAAAATGTGTAAATAAGGTTTATTTAACACAACAAATGAATGTGCAAAGGTGAAAAAATAATGTTAGGGGTCAATTAATTGGAGGTCACAAGACATCTGGACCATGCTGTATTGTATAATATTGTGTGGGCTGTACACAGGGCCGGTGCTAAGGGGGTGCTGGGGTGGGCCCTGCACCACCAAATATCCCCTTTGGGCCACCCGAGGTCACTCTCCTTAGCGGTTCGTCACTGCTCTTGTGGCCCCCCACGAAACAGATCTACTGAGCCCCCCCCCCCCGCCGTCCCCCTATCCGGCCTGAGTTGGGAGCCAGCCCTGGCTACATAATCCAAAGCAATTTGGATTCGCTTCCTCTTCTCGCTTCGTTATGATTTCTTCATTAAATGTCTTCCCGATTGATTCCCACGCCTTTTTGTTAGAAAGAGAAACAAAAACGTGCGTCTCTCATCCGTCTCTGACGTTTGCTATCAATCGTCCGTTCCTTAATCTCTCTGCATTGCTTAAAATATACGGTTGGATGTTATCACCGCGTTCATACATACGAGTTAAAGCATATTAGACCGGACTCGAGCTACAAGGTGCTAGACGTTGCGTATCCTGTTCACTCCCCACGGACACCAAGGGCCATCAAAGCGTGACAACCGTAATTAGGATGCAGTTTCTTGCCGACCCAAACAACAGCCGCCACGGGTTTTAAGCAAATGTGTTTCGCTCAGGACTCCGAGTTGATGAACAGCCCTGATTGTTGAAGCCAAGCTGTTTTTCGACGATTGCCTCAGTTCCTCGAGGTTATCGTTTGGGGGTTGGGAAGGTGTTTTTGTTTACCCAGAAATGTTCGAATGTCAGAGCCACCTCGAGAAGGGAAACCGTGTGAGACGTTGTAGCCCAAGCCTATGGCGTCGGTAGTTAGCGCATCGTGCTACCAACCCATTCACCCGAGTTCGATTCCCGCTCACGGCCAACACCAGTGACGATTAACTGAAACCGGTCATGGGCCTCCCCCTAGGTCGACTCAGCCTCAAATGAGTTCCTGGTGCGATGCGTAAATGTCGCCACTGGGGAGACAATGGCGGCCGGGCGTGGTGCTGGCCCAACCACCCCCTCGTATGCCGTGCCGTCTTTCATGAATAGGTGCTACTCGCTCAGAGCACTTGCCCCAACAGTCTGTTCAGTGGCTATACGGGGGAGGTGGGGGGGGTCTTTGTAGCCGAGGCATAGACCACAAGGTGGCAGAGTCTGACACACGACCGAGGAACGTTGGTGCCACTCCCTGGCTCAGGTCACACGGTACGGGTATATCGTGGGGTTTATTTAACCAAAGCCCGCCCCGGCTACAGCTTCTCTCCACCGAGCGACGCTTTAAAAATGTGTCGCTTTTTTTTCTTCTTTAAACGATGCGGTGTGCCTTGTATGCCTTTGCTTGGCTGTGAAGGAGATGAGGTCGTTTGAGCGGGGACCTCCCTGGGCTCTCTGCCACCTACCCAGTAAACGTGCCAACGTTTGAGACAACGTTGGCATGTGGATGCAACCGTTGGCCCAACGTTGGCCCAACATTCCATGCCAACCCGTCCCTCCTCATCCCATGGCCTGGTATACAGCAGGAGGTGGTGGGTTCGATCCCAACCCTGACGCCTGCTGCTGTATATTTGGAGTTTGCGGTGTCTCTCTCCCCCTGTGGTCGCGTGGATTTTGCTCTGGGCCCTCCGGTTTTTCCCTCCGCAATTAGAAGCAACATACATTTTAAGTCTTTGGCTGCAATACATTTCGACGTGATAAGCCACTTCGTTGAGCTATCATTTGTGGCCAGGTAACTTCTGAAAAGGTTACATAGCTCAGTGGGTCATACCTGGTAAAATAAAAAATAGTTTTACTTTTAGTTTATGTTTTGGACTTTTCATTGACATAAGCTAGCGGAGTAGAAGGCAGATATAGGCACACACCTTGGCATCTAGGCGAGAGGGCCAGCATAGTGTTAGGGTAGGCCCCGTGGTCTATCCAACGTGAACACACGGAGCTTTCGACAGACAGCAAAGTTTAATAATGAGAACGTGAGATGGAAAATCGTTTATGAGCAATAGCTACGCCGCTGCCCTCACCCCCTCTGCCCAGCATTGCTCCCCCGTATTACCAAACCCCGAATGCCCACGCCATCGTCCGTCACCACTTGCGCCACCCCCACCCCCCAACTCGCCGCCCTCCGCAGATGATGATTTCTCGGGACGCGTGACGCCGCTGAGCGGGCTCTGCTCCTCCCTGGAGGCGAGCCCCGGCGCGGGGAGCTTCTCCGGCCGTTCTTCTCTCTCCTCTGCCATCCCCAGCGCGCGCGACAAGTGCCGAAGGTTCCTCGAGGACTTCCCTGACGAGGTGGTGGTGGTGAACCGGTGTGACGTTCAGGTGCAAGGCGCTCAAGGTGTATCAGCGCTGACCAGGTGTGTTCTCGCTGGTGGGGGGGTGGGGGGGCGGTGAATGTTCTTTATTGCGCCTACGAGCAACTTCACAGGGAATTCGCGCGCCCGGCGGACGTGCGGATGGTTGAAGCTGAGCAGAGTCGAGAGCGTGGTTTGGTGTTTTGGATGGCAGACGGCAGACAGCAGGTGAGCTGTGGGCGTTGAGGCAGGAGGAGAGGGCCCATTCGGCATTGCTCCACATTCAGCATCCCGCACTGACCAGTGCGGTGAGGCATGGTCAAAATAACCCTCCATGATACAGGTTTTTTTTTTTTTGGGTTAGATCGCGTGATAATATATACAGTGAGGGAAAAAAGTATTTGATCCCCTGCTGATTTTGTACGTTTGCCCACTGGTAGGTTTTTTTGAACAGTGAGAGACAGAATAACAACAACAACAAAATCCAGAAAAACGCATGTCAAAAATGTTATAAATTGATTGGCATTTTAATGAGGGAAATAAGTATTTGACCCCCTCTCAATCAGAAAGATTTCTGGCTCCCAGATATCTTTTATACAGGTAACGAGCTGAGATTAGGAGTACACTCTTAAAGGGAGTGCTCCTAATCTCAGCTTGTTACCTGTATAAAAGACACCTGTCCACAGAAGTAATCAATCAATCAGATTCCAAACGCTCCACCATGGCCAAGACCAAAGAGCTCTCCAAGGATGTCAGGGACAAGATTGTAGGCCTACACAAGGCTGGAATGGGCTACAAGACCATTGCCAAGCAGCTTGGTGAGAAGGTGATAACAGTTGGTGCGATTATTCGCAAATAGAAGAAACACAAAAGAACTGTCAATCTCCCTCGGCCTGGGGCTCCATGCCAGATCTCACCTCGTATAGTTACAATGATCATGAGAACGGTGAGGAATCAGCCCAGAACTACACGGGAGGATCTTGTCAATGATCTCAAGGCAGCTGGGACCATAGTCACCAAGAAAACAATTGGTAACACACTACGCAGTGAAGGACTGAAATCCTGCAGCGCCCGCAAGGTCCCCCTGCTCAAGAAAGCACGTATACATGCCCGTCTGAAGTTTGCCAATGAACATCTGAATTATTCAGAGGACAACTGGGTGAAAGTGCTGTGGTCAGATGAGACCAAAATGGACCTCTTTGGCATCAACTCAACTCACCGTGTTTGGAGGAGGAGGGGGAATGCTGCCTACGACCCCAAGAACACCATCCCCACCGTCAAACATGGAGGTGCAAAATTATGCTTTGGTGGTGTTTTTCTGCTAAGGAGACAGGACAACTTCACCGCATCAAAGGGACGATGGACGGGGCCATGTACCATCAAATCTTGAGTGAGAACCTCCTTCCCTCAGCCAGGGCATTGAAAATGGGTCGTGGATGGGTATTCCAGCATGACAGTGACCCAAAACACACGGCCAAGGCAACAAAGGAGTGGCTCAAGAAGAAGCACATTAAGGTTCTGGAGTGGCCTAGCCAGTCTCCAGACCTTAATCCCATAGAAAATCTGTGGAGGGAGCTGAAGGTTCGAGTTGCCAAACGTCAGCCCCGAAACCTTAATGACTTGGAGAAGATCTGCAAAGATCAGTGGGACAAAATCCCTCCTGAGATGTGTGCAAACCTGGTGGGCAACTACAAGAAACGTCTGACCTCTGTGATTGCCAACAAGGGTTTTGCCACCAAGTACTAAGTCATGTTTTGCAGAGGGGTCAAATACTTATTTCCCTCATTAAAATGCAAATCAATTTATAACATTTTTGACATGCGTTATTCTGGATTTTGTTGTTGTTATTCTGTCTCACTGTTCATATAAACCTACCATTAAAAATAGACTGATCATTTCTTTGTCAGTGGGCAAACGTACAAAATCAGCAGGGGATCAAATACTTTTTTCCCTCACTGTAAATGTGTCGTAAAACCCGCCACCACCCGACACAGCCAACTAGTAAGGGTTGTCACATAAACAGAACGTGCCAATTCGTCACTAGTACAGCACACCGGTGTGTTGGAGAGCCAAGCCACAACATTTACAATCTGAGTACAACGTTTCGCCAGTAATTACAACTAGCTTCATCAGGCGACAGCCAGATTTGTGAAGTCCACCTGTTTCGTTCCTTAAATAGAGATGTGTTCGACAACTCTTGTGCCCTCTTCTTGCGCGAAGGGGGGGGGGGGGGATTAAGGACCCTCATGGCCACGCAAGGCGTGGGGGAGGCCCTTACTCATCCAGCAGTGGATTGACAATAACGGACTTCACGCTTACACATTACACGTTGCATTTGGCTGATTAGGATGGAGCAGTAGCGCGATGGTTTGTGTACAGCAGTAGTGTGAAATGAACCCGGCGGCCTGAGTTTGGTTCCCAGCGACGACCAATGTCAGTGGCGAGTCAAATACTGGATGTCTGTGATATTGATCGTCTGTGACACTTGACGTCTGTGATAGTGGACGTCTGTGACACTGGACGTCTGTGACACCGGACATCTGTGATATTGATCGTCTGTGATAATGAACGTCTGTGACACCGGACGTCTGTGATAGTGGACGTCTGTGATATTGGACGTCTATGATACCGGACGTCTGTGATACCGGACGTCTGTGATAGTGGACGTCTGTGATATTGATCGTCTGTGACACTGGACGTCTGTGACACTGGACGTCTGTGATACCGGACGTCTGTGATAGTGGACATCTGTGACACTGGACGTCTGTGACACTGGACGTCTGTGACAGTGGACATCTGTGATAGTGGACGTCTGTGATACTGGACGTCTGTGATAGTGGGCGTCTGTGACAGTGGACGTCTGTGATAGTGGACGTCTGTGATACTGGACGTCTGTGATAGTGGACGTCTGTGATAGTGGACGTCTGTGATACTGGACGTCTGTGATACTGGACGTCTGTGATACTGGACGTCTGTGACATTGGACGTCTGTGATAGTGGATGTCTGTGATATTGGACGTCCGTGATATTGGACGTCTGTGATAGTGGACATCTGTGATACTGGACGTCTGTGACATTGGACGTCTGTGATAGTGGACGTCTGTGATATTAATCGTCTGTGATATTGGACGTCTGTGATACTGGGCATCTGTGATACCGGACGTCTGTGAAAAAGAGTTTCGTATCTCATCGAATTCCTCCAGGATAAATACAGATCCTAATTCTTAAATCTCAACCGGTCTTCCGCCCTTCACCAGCCCACACTGTACGGGTGCCTTATCTGCCATTCTACCACTCATCGCATCCAGTCCACCCATACTGCCAGGCGCCATCCCATTCACCACTCCACCGACATAATGGAGGAGTCAACCTGGCACGAGCACCTGTTGGAACGTCACCGTCCCTTGGGAGTGATTAGCGGCTGTTATATGTTGTTGACACGTTTGTGTGTGTGTGGATGCGCCGTGTGTGTGTTTATATCAGCAGGAGCAGCTCCAACTGGATTGAGTGCGGATCTGGTCCCTTGAGCCGGCGGAGATCTGGTGAAGCCGATGCGGGTGGATGCCCCTACCCTGTCTTACCACCCATCTCTCCGCGTGTCGGTGGGTCGACAACCGTGCGCTTTCGAGACTGATCTTCCAGTGCTCGAGGACACACAGTCCCAGCTCCCGTGCTTGACCTTGGCATCGCGGTGGGGGGGGGGATGTGGACTTGGTCCGGGAACTCGGCTCGTGTGTAAACCCCCATTACTATTTTAACCACAGCTGGGAATTGAACTCGTCCGTAATGGAGTTTTATTTGATTTGGGTTACCCGACACAGCCAATTAGTAAGGTTCGTCACGTAAACAGAACATGCCAATTAGTAAAGAGAACATGGCAATTGCTTTCTCATTGCGAATTAGTTACTAATTGGCATGTGCTGTTTATGTGACCAACCTTACTAATTGGCTGTGTTGGGTGTTTCCGGGTTTAACGACACATTTATATCATTTGACCTCTTTTGCCAGTACCAAAATATAATAATAGTGTTTTTCCCTTTTTTCTGGCAACAAAACTGAAACCTTTTTACAAGGATTCATATCTGCATTAGCCACAATGCCTGCAGTCAAAATGCAAACAAAAAACATACTACACCAAGGGAAAGCCGTCCCTTGGTGTGGACCAATCAGTTTCAAGGACAATGCATATATTATCATAGTATGTTTTTTGTTTGCATTTTGACTGCAGGTATTGTGGTTAATGCAGTAACATGAATCCTTGTAAAAAGGTTTCAGTTTTGTTGCCAGAAAAAAGGGGAAAAAACCCTATTATTATGACACATTTATATTCACGCGATCTTACACACACACAAAAAAACCAACAACAACTCTATTATGGATAATATTGGTCGCGAAAGAGCTATGTGTTAAAAGTAACTCGGCGCGCCAGGTCTATAGCGCAGTGCGATCACCACCACTGCGCCACCGTGCTGGACATGTGTTTTCGCGTCGTTGTGTTTCTCGGACAGGCTCAGCGTTTGCGTGCGTCAGCGACACGGCGGGGGACAAAGCAGTGGAGCGAGCATGCGAGGAGGAAGGCGACTCTGAGATCCCTCCTGATCCCGCAGCCCTGAGCCAGGAAGCAGGTAACACATGTTCACCCGACATTGACCAAAAACGTCAATATCTGCAACACAAATTCAAAGGGAAATGAGCGCGAACGTTTCCATTCTCTTGCAGAGCAGTGGCACCCTTCAAGTTGGACTACAACCGAAGGAAGTGGATGTCACGGAGCATTCTCTTAGATCCCTTCAATTGACCTCTGGTCCACAGGACAGGGGGCAGCGCTACCCCACTCACCCCACTCCCCCGTCGGCAAAGTGCTCCCCCTGGGCACATGTAAAGTCACACATCTGTTTTGTTTCAGGAGACACCGCGGGCGAACTCCCAGCTGATTGCCAGGGGTCACCGGACAAAACGAAACACGCAGAGGGGCCACGAGCGGGAGAAACCACAAACTCCGGGCAGGAGGGGTGGGGCATCCTCCTGGACCTTCTCCCCTCGGGGGACGCGATGGACTTCTGGTTGGCGAGAGCCGACGAGGCCTGGGGCGAGACGGGGGAGCGGGAAGACGACGACGACGATGGGGAGGTGGTGGTGGAAGAAGAGGAAGGGGAGAGAATGCTCGCTCGCAACGAGCGACACGACGAGGCGGGTGAGGCCCGGTTTGCGAACGACGTCCGTGACGCAAGTTGGGAAGCGCACGTCCCCATATCCATCTCATAGACAATCCGAATCTCAACGTAGACTGTGGCAATCCGATGAGCTGTGAAGCTCTTTTTCACAGATGTTCGGTGGGGAGGGGGGGGGGTGTCAGTAAGTTACAGATAAGTAAGTGGGTGGACAAGAGGAGTTTGGCTGTTGGGTCCAGCGCGGTGATGTCTGGGTCTCTGCTAGTCGCTCCCCAATGTTTCACACGGCAATGTTGTTGTCAAATATCGACAACAACAGTGGTGAAGATAAAGGCTCAGCCCGGCAATTTCTTACTCACGCTACTGCCGGCAGAAGGGCCTCCTCTAGACTGGACTCCGGATGATAATTTTAGCCTGGCAGTGATGGCTATGCACGCCTCTAATACAGCACCACGCAGAGAATAGGGTTGGTGGATTACGCAAATGTGGCGGAACTTCCTTCCTGTGGACATCGAGGTGTCATGCCCTGGATTGCCAGAAGGCAGTTGAGCAAAAATGTGAACTTCACCTGTTCCGTCTGCTTGGGATCGAGTGTTTCCCCCTCACACACGTGGGGTTTTCTCTATGGGCGACGGTTTCCTTCCACGTGTAAACACTCATTAATTGGCCGATAACACCTTAATCCACAGAGGATTGCAGAGCCTGGGCAATTGTTGGCACGGGCTCATCACGTCGCTGCCTTGCCGCTGGTTCCTCGTGCTTCTTAAGTGTTCTCTCTCTGCTCTCCAACAAGAGTGAGCGATTACTGTGCGGCGAGTTACAGGTTGAAATTATTATTTTTGTTAGTCTTATATTTTGGCCTACCTTTTCACACTGGCCAGGGGTCTTGCAAGAGGTGGAAGGTCACCCACGATTTACCCCACTACACGCGACCTTACACAGCTGGCTGGACCACACTGGCGGCCTCTGGATCGCAAGTCCAGCGAGCTGCCTGTAGCATCGCGGCATTCGGAGTGGAAGGTGGCAGGCAGCCTTCACGTGGCGCCACTGTGTCGTTGAGTGAGAAATCACGACGGAATTGCCATCCGCACGGCGACCGAACATCCGATCGTCGATCTCCCCGTTCGCAGAGAATGAGCGCGGTCGGAACTTACCCTGAAATGTGTGGTGTTTTGCTTCCGCAGCGGATGCACGTGATGGCGTGAAAACAACCACTCCTGACATCTGCCACTCATCACCACCAGCAACTCTCGTGCGGGTACGTTTGTGCTCCTCATTATCCCTCGGGTCACCTTGGTGTCGCACTCGCGTGGTCAACACCTGCACGGGCATTTAGCCTCACCGAGTCCCATAACTCTCACGTGATTGCTATGCCTATTGAAATGGCGGTAATTTGTCGGCTGAGATTTAGAATGTGGCTTATGACGCCCGCACACAACGGCCTACCTACTCTTGCGAATGACGTCGCGGGGTCTTAAACCTCCACCGTGAAGCAGACAGCACGTAGAACAGTTAATACACCTGCAGTATTAACCAGGACGGTCGTTGGAGTCGAACCGTGAACCTCTGCAGCGAGCGGTGAACCACGCCTTTGCTGGGCCACACCACTGACCACACATCACGGCGTGGCCCCTCCATGCATTGTGCTGCGTCGCGCTGTGTTGCGCTGTGGTGTGCTGTGTTGTTCTGCATCGTGCTGTGTTGTGCTGCCTTGTGCTGTGTTGTTCTGCATCATGCTGTGTTGTGTTGTGGTGTGCTGCATCATGCTGTGTTGTTCTGCATCATGCTGTGCTGTTCTGCATCATGCTGTGTTGTTCTGCATCATGCTATGTTGTTCTGCATCATGCTGTGTTGTTCGGCATCAAGCTGTGTTGTTCTGCATCATGCTGTGTTGTTCTGCATCATGCTGTGTTGTTCTGCATCATGCTGTGTTGTTCTGCATCATGCTGTGTTGTTCTGCATCATGCTGTGTTATTCTGCATCATGCTGTGTTGTTCTGCATCATGCTGTGTTGTTCGGCATCATGCTGTGTTGTTCTGCATCATGCTGTGTTGTTCGGCATCATGCTGTGTTGTTCTGCATCATGCTGTGTTGTTCTGCATCATGCTGTGTTGTGTTGTTCTGCATCATGCTGTGTTGTTTTGCATCATGCTGTGTTGTTCTGCATCATGCTGTGTTGTTCGGCATCATGCTGTGTTGTTCTGCAGCATGCTGTGTTGTTCTGCATCATGCTGTGTTGTTCGGCATCATGCTGTGTTGTTCTGCATCATGCTGTGTTGTTCGGCATCATGCTGTGTTGTTCTGCATCAAGCTGTGTTGTTCTGCATCATGCTGTGTTGTTCTGCATCATGCTGTGTTGTTCTGCATCATGCTGTGTTGTTCGGCATCATGCTGTGTTGTTCTGCATCATGCTGTGTTGTTCTGCATCATGCTGTGTTGTTCGGCATCATGCTGTGTTGTTCTGCAGCATGCTGTGTTGTTCTGCATCATGCTGTGTTGTTCGGCATATGCTGTGTTGTTCTGCATCATGCTGTGTTGTTCTGCATCATGTTGTGTTGTTCTGCATCATGCTGTGTTGTTCTGCATCATGCTGTGTTATTCTGCATCATGCTGTGTTGTTCTGCATCATGCTGTGTTGTTCTGCATCATGCTGTGTTGTGCTGCATCATGCTGTGTTGTTCTGCATCATGCTGTGTTGTTCTGCATCATGCTGTGTTGTTCGGCATCATGCTGTGTTGTTCTGCATCATGCTGTGTTGTTCTGCATCATGCTGTGTTGTTCGGCATCATGCTGTGTTGTTCTGCATCATGCTGTGTTGTTCTGCATCATGCTGTGTTGTTCTGCATCATGCTGTGTTGTTCTGCATCATGCTGTGTTATTCTGCATCATGCTGTGTTGTTCTGCATCATGCTGTGTTGTTCTGCATCATGCTGTGTTGTTCTGCATCATGCTGTGTTGTTCTGCATCATGCTGTGTTGTTCTGCATCATGCTGTGTTGTTCTGCATCATGCTGTGTTATTCTGCATCATGCTGTGTTGTTCTGCATCATGCTGTGTTGTTCGGCATCATGCTGTGTTGTTCTGCATCATGCTGTGTTGTTCGGCATCATGCTGTGTTGTTCTGCATCATGCTGTGTTGTTCTGCATCATGCTGTGTTGTGTTGTTCTGCATCATGCTGTGTTGTTCTGCATCATGCTGTGTTGTTCTGCATCATGCTGTGTTGTTCGGCATCATGCTGTGTTGTTCTGCAGCATGCTGTGTTGTTCTGCATCATGCTGTGTTGTTCGGCATCATGCTGTGTTGTTCTGCATCATGCTGTGTTGTTCGGCATCATGCTGTGTTGTTCTGCATCAAGCTGTGTTGTTCTGCATCATGCTGTGTTGTTCTGCATCATGCTGTGTTGTTCTGCATCATGCTGTGTTGTTCGGCATCATGCTGTGTTGTTCTGCATCATGCTGTGTTGTTCTGCATCATGCTGTGTTGTTCGGCATCATGCTGTGTTGTTCTGCAGCATGCTGTGTTGTTCTGCATCATGCTGTGTTGTTCGGCATATGCTGTGTTGTTCTGCATCATGCTGTGTTGTTCTGCATCATGCTGTGTTGTTCTGCATCATGCTGTGTTGTTCTGCATCATGCTGTGTTATTCTGCATCATGCTGTGTTGTTCTGCATCATGCTGTGTTGTTCTGCATCATGCTGTGTTGTGCTGCATCATGCTGTGTTGTTCTGCATCATGCTGTGTTGTTCTGCATCATGCTGTGTTGTTCGGCATCATGCTGTGTTGTTCTGCATCATGCTGTGTTGTTCTGCATCATGCTGTGTTGTTCGGCATCATGCTGTGTTGTTCTGCATCATGCTGTGTTGTTCTGCATCATGCTGTGTTGTTCTGCATCATGCTGTGTTGTTCTGCATCATGCTGTGTTATTCTGCATCATGCTGTGTTGTTCTGCATCATGCTGTGTTGTTCTGCATCATGCTGTGTTGTTCTGCATCATGCTGTGTTGTTCTGCATCATGCTGTGTTGTTCTGCATCATGCTGTGTTGTTCTGCATCATGCTGTGTTGTTCGGCATCATGCTGTGTTGTTCTGCAGCATGCTGTGTTGTTCTGCATCATGCTGTGTTGTTCGGCATCATGCTGTGTTGTTCTGCATCATGCTGTGTTGTTCGGCATCATGCTGTGTTGTTCTGCATCAAGCTGTGTTGTTCTGCATCATGCTGTGTTGTTCTGCATCATGCTGTGTTGTTCTGCATCATGCTGTGTTGTTCGGCATCATGCTGTGTTGTTCTGCATCATGCTGTGTTGTTCTGCATCATGCTGTGTTGTTCGGCATCATGCTGTGTTGTTCTGCAGCATGCTGTGTTGTTCTGCATCATGCTGTGTTGTTCGGCATCATGCTGTGTTGTTCTGCATCATGCTGTGTTGTTCTGCATCATGCTGTGTTGTTCTGCATCATGCTGTGTTGTTCTGCATCATGCTGTGTTATTCTGCATCATGCTGTGTTGTTCTGCATCATGCTGTGTTGTTCTGCATCATGCTGTGTTGTGCTGCATCATGCTGTGTTGTTCTGCATCATGCTGTGTTGTTCTGCATCATGCTGTGTTGTTCGGCATCATGCTGTGTTGTTCTGCAGCATGCTGTGTTGTTCTGCATCATGCTGTGTTGTTCGGCATCATGCTGTGTTGTTCTGCATCATGCTGTGTTGTTCTGCATCATGCTGTGTTGTTCTGCATCATGCTGTGTTGTTCTGCATCATGCTGTGTTATTCTGCATCATGCTGTGTTGTTCTGCATCATGCTGTGTTGTTCTGCATCATGCTGTGTTGTTCTGCATCATGCTGTGTTGTTCTGCATCATGCTGTGTTGTTCTGCATCATGCTGTGTTGTTCTGCATCATGCTGTGTTGTTCTGCATCATGCTGTGTTGTTCTGCATCATGCTGTGTTGTGTTGTGCCGCATCGTGCTGCGTCGCCCAGGCTGCATCCTGTGACGAGCGCGGAGACGTCCAGGCCTGCGCTGTCCCCTGCCACTCCACGCGTCGCCCCTGCCGTGCCGCGACGTTCCGCACGCACCGCACAGGTGCCCATTGCGTGCGCGTAGCGGCTCTGTCCCGTGACCTTCTGCCAGCGAGCATTCGACACTTCACGTGACCCCAAAGTGCACCGAGCGTGGCACAAGCGCTGCGGCCACGTCGCCGTCACTCGGCGGCGAACGTTGCCGTCATTGTGTAGCGAGCAGCGGTGGTGGCGGCGTCGTCGGAGTCGTGGTCGCGGAGCAGGGTGCCTTGTAAGCGTGTGACCGTGTGTGACTGCTCGTATATCCAGGGACTCCTCTACTTACGAACGGGTTAGGCTCCAGAGGTCTGTTCGTTAAGTCGACTTGTTCGTAGGTCGAACTTTACTCCTGTCGATTCCAAACACGTTGTACGGCATGTACACTAAACACGGGGAATGGCTTTAGAAGCTGTACAATCTCCTGTAGACGTAGATGCCACTGGGTCTTCACGTTCTGCGGATGTAGATGCCACCACCGCCGTCTATTGCTCCGGCGGTTGAACTTACGACTCTCGGTCCGAACAGGCAACTGGACACACGGCCCGGGTTTGTTCGTACCTCTGGAAGTTCGTAAGTCAAATGTTCGTAAGTAGAGGAGTCCCTGAGTGGAGCAGCTGCACGCTGGCTTGTGAATCGCAGTTCAGTCCCCCGGCGACCCACGCTCGCGTTGTTGCACGATGCCAAGCGAATTGTTAACGTTGGTATTGGTAGGTGTTGTACTGGATCTCCTTTAGGTGAACTCAGCCTAAAATGGGAACACGATGAGGAACCATCTCAACGTCCGGTTCTCGTACCGTCCCCGAGTTGTCTCTCGGACGCGTCACGTCGCCCTGAACGCCTTCATCCAGCAGCGGATTGATCCTGACTGATGATGATGATGCCGCCCCAGGTGATGTGACGTCCAACGCGTCGTTAGTTCCCGCCGCTGAAGCCTCCTCCAATGCCGAGGGACTCTCTCCCGGTGAGTTTCAGCATCTCGGCGGGCGCTCAGGTGATGAATTTCTGAGCCTGCGGGACTCGATGCGAGTCTGCGGGTCTCGATGCGAGTCTGCGGGTCTCGATGCGAGTCTGTGGGTCTCCATGCGAGTCTGTGAGTCTCCATGCGAGTCTGTGGGTCTCCATGCGAGCCTGTGGGTCTCAATACGAGTCTGCGGGTCTCGATGCGAGTCTGTGGGTCTCCATGCGAGTCTGTAGGTCTCCATGCGAGTCTGTGGGTCTCTATGCGAGTCTGTGGGTCTCTATGCGAGTCTGTGGGTCTCTATGCGAGTCTGTGGGTCTCGATGCGAGTCTGCGGGTCTCTATGCGAGTCTGCGGGTCTCGATGTGAGCCTGCGGGTCTCGATGCGAGTCTGCGGGTCTCGATGCGAGTCTGTGGGTCTCCATGCGAGTCTGCGGGTCTCGATACGAGTCTGTGGGGCTCCATGCGAGTCTGTGGGTCTCTATGCGAGTCTGTGGGTCTCGATGTGAGTCTGCGGGTCTCCATGCGAGTCTGTGGGTCTCTATGTGAGTCTGCGGGTCTCCATGCGAGTCTGCGGGTCTCGATGTGAGTCTGTGGTCCTCGCATCCAGGTCACCCAATCTCCTTCGTCACGTGAACGAAATCTGTCGGAGCCCAACACTGGTTGCAGCATCCTCCCCAATCCCACACTGCCTTTGGGACCCGTTGATCAGTGAATCCAGTTGCGTTCTCAACCCGGAAGGCACGAACCGCCACGAAGCAGCAACAACAACAACAACGACAACAATAACAAACACTCTTAAATCTCAAAAATGCTAACGTCAAATCTCTCTTGCCTTTACCCCTCCACCACGACCCCACACCTTCCCCCTTCCACGCCTCAGGTGGGGAGAAGGCCTGCGCCCGGGAAGCGGTGCCCGAGGAGCGAGAGCAGCACGGGAGCGGGGAGAGGGACACGGGCGTGATGGAGGAAGGCCCCGAGCGGGGACGCGAGGAGTCGAGGGAGGCCCGGGAGCGACGGTTGGAGCGGGCCGAGGGCGTCGCGCGGGCCCAGGCGCTGCTGCAGCGACTGCGCGACGCCGAGCGGCCGGCGGTGCCCGCGATCGGCGGGGTCGGTGGCGGCGGGAGCCCCAACGTCTCCAACTTCGACGACTGTGAGACGACTCTTGATTGATTTGCCTCACTTCCACAACGTGTCTCTCTCTCTCTATCCCCGTGGTCGCGTGGATTTTTCTCCAGGGTCCCCCGGGGTTTATTTCCTCCCCTCCACGATTAGGATCAGCATCACGGCTTTAGAGTATTTGGCTGCTATGAATACCATTAACCATTGCTAGATGAAGGACTCCAAACCCCGTTATTTAGATTATTTGGCCGTATTAAATTTCCCACATGATAAGCCACGTCGTTGAGCTATCGTTTGTGGCCAGGTCGCTTCTGAAGAAGAGCTATATAGCTCTGTGGGCATTACCTGGTAAAATACTAAAACTAGTTTGCTTTTTAGTTCATGTTTTGGACTTTTCAGTTAAATAAGCTGGCGGAGTAGAAGGCGGATACGGACACACACCTTGGCATCTAGGCGAGAGGGCCGGTATGGTGTTAGGGTAGGCCCCGTGGTATATCCAACGTGAACACACGGAGCTTGCTGCAGACAGCAAGGTTTTCTAATGGGAACGTGAGATGGACAATCCAAGTTGACTGTTGTTTTGAGAAACTGGAGGCGTGAGTTACTGCTGCTGACCAAAGGACTAATTACCCTGGAGGAGTTGTTTTAATGTATATTCTGTACGTGAGCCGGCTGGCTGGGTGGCTCAGAACTAATAAGTCAACTGTCTCCTGTTGTTCTCGATTTCAGTCGATTTTCTGGCCAAGTACTGCATCTTCAACCAGCAGGCCCTGGGAGAATACCAGCGTGCATTCTCTGCCGTGAGTACAAGGACACGCGCACGCGTGCATGTTACGGTCGTGACGATGGATTGATTCATCGACGATTAGAATTGCTTCTCGCGCTCCCGATACACGAAAGTGTACAAATCATTTAGGGGGCTTCTTTTTATATATATGATGAAATTGAATTAACGTCCCATCACAATTCTAAACATTCAGGGTCAAACCGAGGGCCCTACATGAACACCAATGTCTGGGGTCACAATGGGGGATGGGGTGGGGGGGGCGATCGGCCCTATTGCCCCGCCCCTTGGGTCCTCCAGTAGATTCACGATTCCATTCAAGAGTCAATTGTTTAACATCGTTAGTGGAGCGGCCTCTAGTGGCTGGCGAGGTCATCCACCGTTCGTTGAGGCGAGGTGAAATGTGCAACATTACGCGAGGGTCTACGGCGGCCTTCTTCTTTCGTGTGCGCCGCCGGTGGTGTAGATGCAGAGCAACGGCTTTTACAATATCACATTTCACGTTGTTCAAGCCAGACAACCGCGTCGGGAGCAGTAGCGGAGTATCGCTGTGGTGTCTCCGCCACACGGTCTGTCCCGAACGACCACAGTCGCACACTGGACAGTTTTAACATCTTCCATTTGTGCATCAGGTATCCGCATCTGCTGCCATGGTTTGTGTGGATGCGGCTGAGGTGAAGCCATTCCACAGCCTCTGTGGAGGCTTGGTGGATCTCGGTGATACTGCCCGTGAATCGGCGGTGCGTAGGGGCGGTGTTGGCTTCTACGATCGATCGTCTGGCTGTGGTGACCGCAGTCACATTCACATGCGGACCCACGACGTACAACAAGCATGAATAAACCAAATGTTAACTCTCACATGCATGCAAATCGACACGAGGATCACAAAGCTAGGAGGTTCAATGAGGATCGATCGATGAATCGGTGTGTCGTTGCACCGCTAATGCTGCACGTGTGCGGTAGTGTAGCGGTTAAGCGCACTCCGCTACGAAACCGGCGACCTGAGTTCGATTTCCACTCATGAACAACATCAGTGGCGATTGTCTGAACCGGTTCTGGACCTCCCCTAGGTCGACTCAGCCTCAAATGAGTAGCTGATGTGGTGTGTAGTAAACATCGCCACTGGCAAGACAAAGGTGGCCGGGCGTGGTGCTGACCACCCACCGCCCTCGTGCGCCGTGCCGGCCTTCATAGGTGCCCGCTCGCTCGCTGACAGCACTTGCCCCAACAGTGCGTTAAGGCTACACGGGGGCACCTTTGCCTTTGTGTGTGCGTGCAGGTGGATGAGGATGAGGACGGGTACCTGTCGGGAGCCGAGGTGTGCGTCGCCCTCAAGGCGGTGCTGCCCCCCGGCTCGCTGACCGACGCCGAGGAGATCTACGTCTACCGTGTACGTCTCCCGCCGCGTGCGCGTGCATATACACGCGCGTGACACCAGCCGGTGGCCCAGCTGTCGAGTGCGTAAACATTTGTGCGTGCACGGCAGTATTTATATTCGCCTCGTTCGGCCCCTGCGTTGAACGCGCCCCAACTGTTGGATGCAGCGTCTTGAAAGTGAGGGCCTCCAGGTATAAAGTGTAAGTCGTTTGCAGCCCATTGTCAATCCGATACCGGACGAAGGCCTCATCCAATAACGGCAGTGAGGAGTCGTTTCGCCACACTTCACCGCACTTGCCAGCGCTCGCTAGTAGATGGGTCCAGACGTTCCCGCGCCCCTCTGTGCACCGATGGGCCGTGTGTCGCCGCAGGTTTTGGAGATCGTGGATTACCGCGTCGCCGACGGGCTCACCGACTTCCGCCTGTTCGCCGTCATCGCCAGCCTCGCTCGTCGCATAGCTGCCCTCGAGTGAGTGGGTGACGAGTGGGTGACGAGTGGGTGACGAGTGGGTGACGAGTGGGTGAGGAGTGGGTGACGAGTGGGTGACGAGTGGGAGACGAGTGGGTGACGAGTGGGCGGGTGGCTCCACTTACACGGACTCGCTCGCGCACACCTCTGTATTGGTTCTTGAAGTGATTCCAGTCGTGTTATTGTGCGACCCGTTACGAGATGATGAAGAGTCCATTCGGTAATCTCCTGGCGCAGTGTGTCCCACGTGTGAGAGAGATACCAGCGGTAGGTGCCTCCCTGAAACATATTCACCGGTCACACCTCTTTAAGATTTGTTTTTGCCCTTCCCCAAAATGTACGACTCGTGGAAGGGATTTGTCGCAGGGATTGTCCAGGAATATCTGTCAAGTGGATGTCAATTGTCAAGGTAGGAATTCGGCCAAATCAAGTGCAAAATCAAACGTAATATTACGGGGTTTTTTTAATGCAGCCATTAGTGACAGCTAAAACCGTGGCCCAGAATCAAACTCAGATTGGCAGGTTTATAGCGCCGTGTGCTAACCACTGCACTGCTGCTCCGCACATACACATACAATGATTGCCCGTATAGCCTTAACAGACTGTAGGGGCAAGTGCTGTTAGCGAGTAGCACCTATGAAGGCCGGCACGGCACACGAGGGGGTGGGTGGCCAGTACTACGCCCGACCGATTTTCTCTCCCTAGTCGTGATGTTTACACACCGCACCAGGTACTAATTTGAGGCTGAGTCGACCGAGGAGAGGTCCAGGACCGGTTCAGATGATCGTCACCGGTGTTGGCCGTGAGCCGGGAAACCGAACTCGGGTCGCCGGGTTCGTAGCGCGGCGTAGCGCTAACCGTTGCACCACCGCTCCCCGCCGCACAGACAACACCCTCACACACAACCACGCCCGCCTCCGACGCTCATTCTCTGATCATTATTTGTGTCAATATTAGTGATGAACGCCATCCACCCCCCCCCCCCCCCCCCTTACCACCGCCGTTATCCACACAAGCGCGCAGGTGTCCGCCCACACCCCACCCGAGCTGTAAAACAGGTGAGAGGCGCGTGGCCGCGCACCTGTGATTGCCGCAAGATCAGCACGCGCCTCCTGCTCCCGCGTCGCACCTGCGCCGTGAGCGCTGTGGCAGGGCGGGCTGTAACTCACGAGAAAGAGAGAGGCAGACACACACACACAGTGGTTTCAGTGTTTCTCGAGAGAGAAAGAGAGGAGAGAGAGAGAACAAAAACCGCCCGCACACACCTCCAGGGTCGTGAAGTGAGCCTCCGGTGAGCTCTCTGGGCTCGCGGTTGTTTTAGACTTTCGCTGGTTGACATCTAAGCTTTCCGGCTGGTTACTGTGATTCGGTAAAGAAATTTGAACAAAATTCCCGTTGGGGTGTTCGGTGGCTGCTTCGACCGATCGCAATGCGCACGTCAAGTGGCGGTTGTCTTGGACCACGTTCACTGCCGCGCTGCGTGTCGCTGAAGATGGGAAGGAATAGACACTGGAGCATAGATGTACACAGGACAATCATTTATTTTTCTGCCGTCTGTTAACATCGTAGACTCACAGCAGCTTCTCACACTTTTTGGTTTAATGAAGAATGGCCTAAATTTCGATTTCAAACTTTCGTGACTGCAAGGATTCATCTTCTTTGGTTCTTTCGGTAAAGTCATGTAGAGTGAGAATAAAATAATACAATTGTGAGAATTTTATTGTCTTATTTTATTTCATTATTTTATTCTCATTCTACGTGACTTTACCGAAAGAACCAAAGAAGAAGAATGGCCTACCCATCAAAGCACTCTGCAAGCCCAAACTTGCGTAGGTTCATAATAGATGTTTTTGGGTTAGATCGCGTCAATATAAATGTGTCGTTAAACCCGCCACCACCCGACACAGCCAATTAGTAAGATTTGCCACGTAAACAGAACTTGCCAATTAGTAACTAATTAGCAATTAGTAAGTAATTGGCATGTTCGCTTTACTAGTACAGGACGCCGGTGTGTTGGGGAGGAATTGTAAATTTGATTGGAATTCTAAATGTTGTGGGCACAACCCTGTTCAGGTTGCAGGATCGGATGAGACCACGTGCACCATGTAGTCACGTGACCAAATGTAATGGCAATTAATTAGAGCACAAAGAAGGTTGGAATTTTAACGCTCCAGTGCCAGGGCCCGGCAACAAAAATACAAAGAAGAGCCATTTGTTTCGAATTCTGTTGTAAAAAAAAACAACCCTCAGTATCTCAAGAGCCACAATGCACTGTGTGGTGAATACGAGACCCCTGGTACAGTGGGTTGATGAGTGGCTCGCGGCCAGACCTGTTCTCCTGGAAGGCTGTATCGATTTCTGGGCTGCAAAACCTGAGACGGAGCTCACTGCCTAACCGAGAGCCACACATCACGCCAGCGGAATCAATACCTGTCAACCCCTTATCAGTGCCCTACATTATTACAGACCAATTCAGACCTTATTGGTCACCTCGTGCCCTTATAAATCTCAACGTTCATCCTTCAAAGCCCCATCACAAGGGAGAAACACAAACAAATCGGCAAAAATTATGTTTGACAAAACACAAAAGCTGTTTTGTGTGTTCATTTAGAAAATGTGTGTCAATGATGCTACGTATCATGCTCTCTGTGAACATGCATGCTGATGCTGCTGCTTGCTTGATATGTGGATGGAAACGGCTGTACGCCGTATGGACCACAATTTCCCTCTACGAGAATACGGGGTAAACCGTATGGGTTGGCTGATATGGGAATCCCTCAATGATACCACAGGAGAGACTGTGTTATGTTATGTTTATATAACACCGCTCAGAAATCGCCACATCTCCTTGGTTTCTGGGCAGCGCCGTGCCGCGGTCAATGAGCTAGACTCAACAATTGAGAGTTTTGTTGAGTTTATTTTGGGTTTACTCAGCTTATCAGCCCCCCCCGCCCGCCGCCGTGGGACTGATAAGATGAATAACGCTTTTTGTGCAGTCGACGGTGGCGATGACCACACCGGGAGACGGCTCCCCACTGGGGCCTTCCAACGGAGATGGACGCTGCTCAATTCGCTTCCTTTGAGCAGTGGAGACGCTCTGAAGATCGCGCGCAGTCTGCGTGAGTGGTCGTGGCTGAGCGGTTAAGGCGGTGGACTGGAAATCGGAGCGGGGAGGGTCTCCCCGTGCAAGTTCGAATCCTGCCGGCTATGCAGTAATCTTTTCTTTTAACAATCATTAATATATACTTTGTAAACATTGGGGGTGAAAGCCGTATACTCCAGGAGTTGGTGCACTGTGTTGTGAACCCATTGCCTTGAGGTTGATTCCCGGACATGGCTGGCATGAGTGGCGAGGCATATCTGAATTGGCTCTTGATCGACTTTCACAACTTACACCAGCCAATTCTAGATTTAAAGCTTTCGTGACTGCAAGGATCCATACTCTTTGGTTCTATTGGGTAAAGTCACGTAGGTAAAAAGTAAAATAACAAAAATCACGACGTTTCGACCACAACACAAGTGGCCTTCATCAGGTGAAGGGACCAACCTGTCCGGAGGACAGCGTTGGAGTGACCAACCTGCGTTGGAGTGACCAACCTGTCCGGAGGACAGGTTGGTCCCTTCACCTGATGAAGGCCACTTGTGTTGTGGTCGAAACGTCGTGATTTTTGTTATTTTATTTTTTACCTACGTGACTTTACACCAGCCAGTCGAGTGAGGTATGGTCAAACCAACCCCCATGGGTGAAATGGTGTGCGGAGGCATTCATCAAGCATTGCAACAAGGTCGTAGCCATGGAGTCAACATTGGGGGGGACCAAATCTTCCAGGGGGTTTGGGGGTCCCCTCCCAGAAAAACATCGAAATTTGAAAACTAATTTCCTGCCTAAAATATAAAAAAGTTCACTAACACATGGGATGGACTTTTTATAATTTTTTAACAAAATGTCTAATAGTGTATTGTATTACACTGCTCTGTTTTTTCTTTTTTTACCTTTTCTTGTTTCATTGTATGTAATGGCAGAGATTCGGGATAAATAAAGTACAACCATAACCACAATCATATAAACATAAATCTATTTTATAGCAATATATTCGGGGGGACATTTTGAGCATATTTGAATATTGGGGCGGGGATGTGTCCCCCTCAATATACATTATAATTACGGTCTTGCGTTGCAATAACACGCTGTAAGTTCCGTTTTCTAAAACCTGCAACATCACAGCCATCAATGAGAGTAATGCCCCTCGGTTTTGGCCTTGTTGCCCCTGTTTCTAAACGAGTGTGATACTCTCAATTGCATCACCTGAGTAGTCGTGGCCGAGCGGTTAAGGCGATGGACTAGAAATCCATTGGGGTCTCCCCGCGCAGGTTCGAATCCTGCCGACTACGTGTCTGTTTTTCTGTTTGTGCGCGTGAATAATGTGTGCTCTTGTAACGTTGGGGAATGGGGGAGCAGTGGTTACCACACACCTCCATGAACCCAGCGACCAGAGTTTTTATTCCCAGCCAAGAATGTTGTGAGATGGATTCGACAAGTCTGCAGAAAAGATATTACGAGGAAAGAACAAGTGAGATGACAGGCGAAAGGTAGCCTGGATAGACGATGGGGACAAGATGAGTGAGAATATGTCGGAGAGGCTGACCCCCATCTCCTCGCTCATGTGGGATCCACTGCTCCCCTCTTCCGTGTCCTGGGAAGGGTTGCCGCTCACCGGCTTCGCTGGGGCCCCTCGGGGCATGATTCGCGGCTGGCGCGTAGCCACCTGGGATTAATTCGCTCCCCCCTCGCGTGCTCCTCTAAACGTTACGCACGCCGTAACGCGCCCGCAGCCACCAAAATTCGACGCGGCTACCTGCCCGGCGCCGCGCACCAATCGCACGCGCGGGACCCGGGGTCGGGGGTCAGAGGGCGGGGGCGTCACTCGTACGCACGCCGCCGATTGGAGGAGGCGACCCCGGAGCTGATTTAAAGGGCTGTACGAACAAACTCACAGGTTACGCCGCCCGTGCACCTCTCGCACACGCTAACCACGAGCTACACAGCTAACCTCGCGTGCACGCCGCCCGTCTACCTTGCGCACACGTTAAGCAGAGGCGGCACGGGTGATCTCGCGTGCACGATGCCCGTCTACCTCGCGTACACGTTAACTACGAGCTACACGCAGCGGCGAGCGCACACACGCGGGTAGAATACACGCTCGTGCGCGAACACAGGACACCACAACGAGAAGGCTCACAGCACCGTGCACTCCTCTCCGCACTCGCAGGGACGACACGACAAGGTTCATTGACTACCGGCGATTTATTCTCCGCGAATAACGAAGCTAAACTACCCGTGACAGTGTGGGCCAGCAGGGCAGGTCTAACCTATCTCCCGGTGGTCTAGGACTCAATCTGTCCCGTCTCTATCCTAATTACTCTTCCTAAGGGATGTTCCCCTTTACCTCACCTCCCTCTTGCGTACTCACGGTTCCGCCTCCGAGGTGCATGAAGCCGCGGAAAGGCGAGGCTGTACGTAGTCCTCGCTGGGAACGGGGCCTGGCTGTGCTGCGACTCGTCTCACGGACGATCCAGTGGCAGGCACGATGACCCCTCCGCTCCTTGACTCCTGAAGAACCCGGATCCCTACCACTACCTCCTCTACCCTTTTAATCGTACTTACATCAAAGATAACGTGCTGCTAATCCGCTGGCCTCTCGTCCAATCAGGAGCCTCGGATTTCCCGCTCCTCGCTAATCCGATCGGTGCTCTCTCCGACGTCCGCTTTTTACACACGCTGTGCAAGGGGAGGGCCCCCTGCCTTCCCGCCGCTCGCTACTCCACCCCACCCCTTACATGCCTGCTGACCCGTGTGTGTTTTGGGTGCCTCCTATCCGCGGTGGCTCAGCAGCCCCATCGTGACCACGTGATTACAACCCAAGTCACGGCGCCGTGGTGCGAGTTAGCCTCGGGGGAGGTCGCCCAATTCCCTGGTCGCAGGAAACCGTGAAGTTTGTTCCCATGAAAGGGCTTCTGGGTGAAAACCTGTTGGCCAGGTGACCTCCCCTCGGGGCTCTATGTGGGGGTGTGTGTGTTCATATGGGGGCTCTATGTGGGGCGGGGGGGGGGGGGTGTGTGTTCATGTGGGGGCTCTATGTGGGGGGTGTGTGTGTTCATGTGGGGGCTCTATGTGGGGGGGTGTGTGTTCATGTGGGGGCTCTATGTGTGTGTGTGTGTGTTCATGTGGGGGCTCTATGTGGGTGTGTGTGTTCATGTGGGGGCTCTATGTGGGGGGGTGTTCATGTGGGGGCTCTATGTGGGTGTGTGTGTTCATGTGGGGGCTCTATGTGGGGTGTGTTCATGTGGGGGCTCTATGTGTGTGTGTGTTCATGTGGGGGCTCTATGTGTGTGTGTTCATGTGGGGGCTCTATGTGAGGGTATGTGTGTTCATGTGGGGGCTCTATGTGGGTGTGTGTGTTCATGTGTGGGCTCTATGTGGGGGTGTGTGTGTGTTCATGTGGGGGCTCTATGTGCGTGTGTGTGTGTGTTCATGTGGGGGCTCTATGTGGGTGTGGGTGTGTGTTCATGTGGGGGCTCTATGTGGGTGTGTGTGTTCATGTGGGGGCTCTATGTGGGGTGTGTGTGTTCATGTGGGGGGCTCTATGTGTGTGTGTTCATGTGGGGGCTCTATGTGGGTGTGTGTGTGTGTTCATGTGGGGACTCTATGTGGGTGTGTGTGTGTTCATGTGGGGGCTCTATGTGGGGGGTGTGTGTGTTCATGTGGGGGCTCTGTGTGTGTGTTCATGTGGGGGCTCTATGTGGGGGTGTGTGTGTGTGTTCATGTGGGGGCTCTATGTGGGGGTGTGTGTGTGTGTTCATGTGGGGGCTCTATGTGTGTGTGTGTTCATGTGGGGGCTCTATGTGTGTGTGTGTGTTCATGTGGGGGCTCTATGTGGGTGTGTGTGTGTGTGTTCATGTGGGGACTCTATGTGGGTGTGTGTGTGTGTTCATGTGGGGGCTCTACGTGGGGGTGTGTGTGTGTGTGTGTTCATGTGGAGGCTCTATGTGAGGTGTGTGTGTGTTCATGTGGGGGCTCTATGTCGGTGTGTGTGTGTTCATGTGGGGGCTCTATGTGTGTGTGTGTTCATGTGGGGGGTGGTGAGGGAGGATCAGCGTGGGCCACGTCTCCGACGGAGCGGCCTCGCTGCTGCGGCACCACAAATAGAGTGAGACGATTCGGGAACGTTGCCAGACACGAGATTGCATCAGAAATAAATTAAAACCACGACCGTTGAAGAAGAGGTCTAGAGGAAGGGACAGAGGAGTGCGTGGTGAGAAGTTGTTCATTAGGCAGAGAGACCAAGCGGCTGTTGCTGTGAAGAGGATGGCGATGGTTGGGAGTCTGTAGAGATATAGGGGGGAGGGACTCAGAGAGAGAGAGATGCACACTGGGACAATGGCTCTGAAGAAGAAGTAGGGTATAGAGGCAATCGGTTTGCGTGAGTAGTCGTGGCCGAGCGGTTAAGGCGATGGACTAGAAATCCATTGGGGTCTCCCCGCGCAGGTTCGAATCCTGCCGACTACGCAAGGAACATTTTGTTTTAACAATCATTCATTTCTCTCCTTTGTAAACATTGAGGGTAAGAGCCGTATACTCCAGAAGTTGGTGCACTGTGCTATGAACCCATTGACCTGAGGTTGATTGCCAGCCATGGCTTGCATGAGTGGCGAGGCATATCTGAATTTGGCTCTTGCTCTACTTTTCACAACTCACACTGCACAGCAGAGTGAAGTATGGTCAAAACAACCTCCATGTGTACACACTGTGTTCATCAAGCAGTGGATTGACAACACGCTGTAAGTTCCGTTTTCTAAAACCTGCAACGTCACGGCCATCAATGAGAGTTATGCCCCCTCGATTGAGGTCTTGCAGCTCCTGTTTCTAAACCAGTGTGATGCTCTTAAGTTACACAGCATTTTTGTATTCATGGTATTTAGAAAGATAAGTAAATGCGTTTTGTCACCAGGGGTTGGGGGGCTGGGTGATCCTGCTGAAATGTTTGCATCAGCTGAGCGATCCGCGGGCCAGTAAAGTTCGAGACACACCGTACCATGACGATGTCGCCACAGATGCAACGGTGGCGTTGTCTGTGTCTCTGCCAGTCATCTCAGACAGCAAACCCACGGCACCTGCTGGGTTGCGTCCCGTGACGTCCTTGCCTGCGGGCGTTCGACACTTCACGTGGCCTTAAAGTGCACGTAGCCTGGCACGTCACCGCCAATTAGTGGCGAATGGCGGCTGTTGTTGTTGTTTGTGTGTTGTCGTCTGTGCGCAGTGACTTTATGCGAAATCTCATCAACCACATGGACTTCAAGGCCCTGGAAATGCGCATGAGTAAAGCCAGGGTGAGTGAGCCACCGTTCTTCGCAATCGATGGGGGGGGGGGGGGGGATGCCAATCAAAACACCCACACTCAAGCAAAGCCTTTAACAAATAACGTTAACCTCAGAAAGTGATGATTTGATTTTGAAAAGCCCCCCCCAGTGGCAGCTCTCCCTGTGTGGCACAATGTGTCACACCTCCTCGCCAGCAAAAGGGCACCCGTCTGCCAGTAGGGGGAAGCTATGAATGCCGCGTGCCATCAAAATGTTAGTCGTTTAGCAGGCAAGTGAAACAAGGAGACACGCGTTTTGCCGATGCGTGCCACAGAAGATGGTTTCCTCTATTGAATTGGAGAAACCAAAGGTGCAACTCCACCGCAGCCCCAGGCATCAGGCTACAAAGAAAGGGGGGAGGGGGGACGGGTGACCAAGAACTTCTTTCGCACCGTACGCAACCAACCGTGCTAATCGGGGGTGAGCGCGGGGGTAAGGACAACCAAACAAAACCTGCCACGTTACGCCACTGACGGCGACGGCACGGGTAAGGAGGCCTTCATCTTCCTGCTGCCTCTCTACCTCCCCGTGGTCACGTGGACTTTGCTGCTCCGGGTCCTCCTTCTCCAGGTTTTATTTCTCCCCACCCACCCCCTCCCCTCCACATTCAGAATCAACGTCACCGTTGCGTTTACTTGGTCTTTGGTCGCCGTTATAAATTCCCACGCGGTGATGGTAAGCCGACTTCGTTGAAGCTATCATTTGTGGTGGCCAGGTCGCTTCTGGAAACAACAAAACCGAGCTATATTAGCAGCTCAGCTTGGGGCCCCTTATCTGGTCAAATAAAAAAAAATGTGTTCGGTTTCGTTGACGAATTGGCACGTTCTGTTAACGTGACAACCCTTACTAGTTGGCTGTGTCGGGTGGTGGCGGCTTTTAACGACGCAACATTTATATATTTACGCGATCTAACCCAAACAAACGCCTCTATTATGGGTATTCTTTGGGTCTTTCGGTAAAGTCACGTAGAACATTTTTTTTTCAAAAAGCTACGACGTTTGATGATCGTCATCATGATGATCGTCATCAGGATGATCGCCGTCAGGATGATCGTCATCAGGATGATCGTCATCATGATGATCGTCATCAGGATGATCGTCATCATGATGATCGTCGTCGTGATGATCGTCGTCAGGATGATCGTCGTCATGATGATCGTCGTCAGGATGATCGTCATCATGATGCTCGTCATCCGGATGATCGTCATCAGGATGACAATTGCTTGCGTTGCGATCGAAACGTGACTTTACCGAAAGACCCAAAGTAATATGAATTCTCGCGGTCACGAAAGCTCTGAGTCTATTGTGGGTGTCTAGTTTCGTTTCGTTGTCGAGGATCACGACGACGAAGACGACAACGAACACGATTCTCCGTGCGCACGCGCCCGCCGGTATCCCGCGCGTCACGCAGGCCCTGTTCGAGTGCAACGTGGAGGCACACACGCGGCGCATCCAGCCGGCCCAGCTCGCGCTGGAGCTACGCGCGGGCGGCGTGAGCGGCGGTCCCCAGGACCGGTCGCTCGACCTCCTCGACTTCCTCTCCTTCCTGCCGCTCTTCGTGCGCATCCACGGCAGCGTGCTCGCTCGCCCGCTCGCCTCCCCGTGACTCGACGGCGGTGGTGGCGTCGGCGCCGCTTCTCTCCCCCCCCACCACCACCACCACCCCTCCCGGGGTCCCAACCTCGGGGCTCAACGGTTTGGGGAAAATCTGTAATAGACATTTTTCTGGCGGATATTTGCGATTGCGATGCGATTTGCGATTCAATTTGTTGAAGTCAAGCTTCAGGTCAATATTCACTGTGTGATAGATTTAAAACACGTGATGGAGCAGTACCACGTGATGTCATCAAAGTATGAACTGCTCTATATATTCTGGGGCCGTCCATAAATGACGTCACGCGATTTTTGACCCCCCCCCCCCTCGTCACACGGTGTCATAGAAAGTCAGACCCCCTCCTCAAATATGACGTCACAAAGCTCTGCGCCCCCCCCCAAAAAAAAAACATATTTACATTTTGAAAATAAAACATGCTTCAAATCGCTTTAAACTATTGTCATGGTCGTGCGTATTTAATGTGGCGCTGGACTGATGTTTGTAGGAGTGTTGATTTAACAATTATATATTAATTTAAAGTTGCGCATTTTGATGTGACGTCACATTTCTCACCCCCCCCCCCCTCACACATCGTCACAAATGTCTGACCCCCCACCCCCCCCCCCCCCTAGGTGCGTGACGTCATTTATGAACGGCCCCTCTAATGCAAGGATGAGAACTTAAAATACATGAATTGCTTCCAACATGTATTTATTAAAATGTTTTAATTGAAATGGAACAATCAAACATAGAACAATTGTTAAGTTAAATAAATAAAGTGAGAAGAATAAAAAATAAACAATTCTAATAAGAAAGTAATAGGACTTTTCAAATCACAGCCTTTGCGATTTGCCTAATCGCATTGTTTCAAATATGCGACTTCGATTTGAAATCGATTAATCGTTCAGCCCTACCCCAACCTACGGACGTCTCCAGGGGCGTAACAGCGTTGGTCGAGGAGCGGCGGCAGCGGCGGAAATTTTGGAACGGCCGCGTCGTAAAACGAGACCCCCCCAACCACCCCTCCGCCACCCACCGTGTTGGTTTTACAGCAACGACAAACGCGAGTTTTAAAATTTACGTCCATCCGCCCGTGGTCAGAGGCAGGGTCAAGACTCTCTCTCTCTCTGCTCCAGGGATACCCAGCAGAAATAGGAAAAGACACCACCCCCACCACCACCCCCCACCGCCCCCACCACACCTCCACACCCCCACACCCCCTTCATGGACTTACAAAGACAAAGATCACACATGGAAGCCGTTGGGGCAAGTGCTATTAGCGAGCACCTATGAAGGCTGGCACAGCACACGAGGAGATGGGTGGCCAGCACTACGCACGGCCGCCTTTGTCTCCCGAGCGGCGATGTTTACACATCGCACCAGGTACTCATTTGAGGCTGAGTGGACATAGGGGAGGCCCAGGACCGGTACAGAATAGTCACCGGTGTTGGCCGTGAGCGTGCATTGATCTCGGGTTCCTGGGTTCGTATCGCAGCATGCTAACCGCCACACTACCGCTCCTCATCGACTTACAGATACATACAAACGTACAGATATCCACACTATTCCCCAGCCCTCACTGCCCCCGATGTCTGGAACGACTTTCTCCAGCTGGGGTGCCATCTATCGTTGGATCCTCATCATAAGCCATGATCTATCAGCTGTTGGATGAAGGCCCCACTAAAGCGATTTCCCTCCCTCTAGATCTTGAAACGCAGAGTTCCATCTGACTCGTGCGCACGAGCTGATTCCATCACTCTGTCTCCGTGGTGGATGTGTTCCCTACTTTGGTTGCCGCTTTCTCGTTACATTATCGTCCAGTGGTTCTTAACCTGGGGCATCAAGCACCCCCTGGGGGTGCGTGATGCCCTTTCTGGGGGTGCGAGACGTGGCCGGATTTTTTTAGAAGCTAAACCATCGAAAACACAAATTGAGTACGGGCACGTGTACAACTACTTTGTTGTCACCAAACCCTATGTGATTATTAACATTATACCTTTTATTTACGATTGAGAACCAAAGGAACGTAAGGCTGCAGTAAAGGTTAAGAACCACTGCACTGCACTATACACCGCATACAATACACTACACTACTTATACACTCCCCTATACACTACACCAGTGGTTCTTCTTCTTTACCTGGGGTGCACGCACGTCCTGGGGGTGCGACATGCCCTTTCTGGGGGTGCGAGACATGGCCGGATATTTTTTAAGAAGGTAAATAATCGAAACACAAATTAAGCACGGGGACGTCAGTGACAACTACTTTGTTGTCATCAAATCCTATGTAGTTATTAACATTATATATTTTAAAAAGTACGATTCAGAACCAAATGGGTGCAAGTCTGCAGTTAAAAGGTGAATAACCGCTGGTCGAGTCAGAGGCCGATTGAAAGGGCGTTCTGTGATGCCATCTTCCGTGGCTGTGTTGTCATCCCACTCGCCCTCAGCGTGTTTTAAAAGTCTCCGGGCTAAAGTGAGTGCTAAAACTAAAACGATATCTGAACAGTTCTTGGCACTCCCCGGCATACCCCGCATTGGCTAGCGTAATAAAGAATGGTGAAACTAATCCCATGACGTGGAACGGAGTGACGACGCCTTCATCCGGCAGCGGAGTGATGAAGGACCGCAAATTATTGTAGACATGCAGAGGGCGTGACCATATTGTATCTCCCTGGAAAAGTATCATACGAAATATTTTAAATGATCAGGATGAGGGCCCTTATCCAGCAGTGGATCGCCAAAAAGAGGGCCGCACAATGTGCACGTGCGCATCAGAGAGGTGGCAAAACGCATTATCTGCAAACGGCCACCAACCCCCCTCCCCCCCACATCGCTACAGATAAGATGCACTCCACTGCAGATTTATTGACGGTGCACTCCGTCTTATCCGTCGATGTTTAATCTGGAACTTCTCCTAAACAGCAGGTGCTGGACATTTTATGGCTCTTGTGAATTGTGAGGACCTTAACGATCTGGGTCGACACTTGGCCAACGCTGTAATCTAAACCCTAGGCGGGTGGCTTTTAGCAAACTAGGGAAGTTGAATTGTGGGGAGAGTAAGGTGGTGGGGTGGGGTGGGGGGGGGGGCATTGTTGCCCAATTATTGCCTGTCGTCCGGCGCGTGGATTTATTTGCCATTGAAAGCGACGGTGGCTGTGGCTTGGGCGAACAGGTGCGAAGCGGGCGGGCGGGCGGGTGGGTGACGAGGTGGAGGCAGGTGCGGTGGCGCGTGGCGGCCACACTGGCGTTTTTGTATTTCCCCTCCGGCTGAGAGGCGGTGGTGTAACGGTGCCCCCAGTGTAAACACGCCACAGCGTTAAGGGCACACGCGCGCTTGCATAGACACGATAAACACCCCAGCCTATCAGATAAGCCCGAAAGCCAATGAATTGATTGGTCTGTAAAGGTATCTCTTGTAATACATTATATTGTGGCGGTGTTTCAACAAATAAGATATGTTTAGTCCTCAACCCTCCGGGGTATTGCCGGTTTCGGTAAAAACAAAATAAATTGGTTCGGAGCTTGGAGCGCCGAGCTGACTAACGCGGAGATCCTGGGTTTGAATCCAGGCAGGCAAAATGCCTGTGATTAAACTGGGCTCTCAATGTGAAGCAGGTTTGGGAGGGTGCAGGGCTATTTGAGATATACAAATGGATTGCTGGCTGGCCACCAAAAGCACAATTCATATAAGATTAGCAGAAAAGACAAAACATATATTTTTAATAATGAAGCATCGAAATAAGATATTACAACAATGTTTAGTAATCGGGGCATTGCCCTGGTGCTGAGTTGATATTGTTGATCAACTCAGTGATAAACAATATCAACTGATATTGACTGATATTGTTTATCAACTCAGTAATAGAAATGCCTGCTTTGGCATCTTGATTCAGGCATTCTTCGGAGGAGCTGTCCAGCCTGCTGAATCAAGAACAGGGGGGGGGGGGGGGGGGTTGGGTAGGAGACCTACCTACCGCCCGCGATATCGTTCCACAGGGCCTGTAATTTCATTTGACACGGCCCAAACCTTGCTCTTGAAGGATGGATATTCGGAACACAAGCTCCAGCGAGAAAAAAGAAAGTACTGATTGACAACGTGAGGATTGGAGGCCTAGATGATGGAGTGAAGCGTTAAAGCACAAGCGTGGATAGAATGGTCTCATATCATGGAGCCTTTTTGCCAGTGTCTGTTTGGTGCTTGAACATCTCAACACATGTTTTATTGCCAGAAAGGGTAAGACACCTATTCTTATTTTTCATAGGATGGAGGATATTTGAGATAACAGGGTACTCTCACTTAGGCAGAGAACGCGACCAAGAGAAGGAACTGTTTGGTTGTAATAAATGGCATTTTTTTTCGTATGAGTCAATTACAGTACATTATAACGGGCTGGGTGGTGTAACCTTCCTGTGTGAGGCTCGCATTAGGAAGGTTGTGAGTTCAATCTCTTGTCGCTGCTTGACTCAGCCTCTCATTTCTCCGGGGCACAATGAAACGAGTACCATTTTGTGGGGGGAAGTCGACATTATTTGTCCTCTTGAGAGAATTGCCCCTGTCATGGGAATGTGGAATTTCTACCACTGGCTGCAGGCTGGAAACGTTTGGCCAGTGTGGAGAAATGTGGCCAACATACCCTCAAATTTGGGGCCCTTCTGCCAGATGTGGCGTGGGCCATAAAAGGTGATCATAGACCAAATGTACAGAGCGTGGGACTGAACACAACGTGCCTATTTCTGACCGGAAAACAAAACAGAGGTTGAAAAATCACGTTGGGCGTGTGAATCAAGAACAAATGTGGTGCTTTATCTCCCCAGAAAACCACGTTATTTCTGCATTAAACTTGCGATAAACCCTAAACTGAAACTATTTTTTATTGTGATAATAGGTTTTCTCCTTTTTGTGGCAACAAAACAGGTGTTAAGATGTTAAAACACCAAACTGAAACCTTTTACAAGGAATCATGTCTGCATTAACCACAATGCTTGTGGTCAGAATGCAAACAAAAAAACACACTGATAATATATGCATTGTCCTTGAAACGGATTGGTCCACACCTGAGACAGCTTTCTTTTGAGCCTCGTCTCAAACGGTGTTAGACCAGAGGACGCCAAAAGGCGTACATCTTAACACCTGTTTTGCCAGAAAAAAAGGAAAAAACCTATGATCATATTTTGGTACTGGCAAAGGAGGTCCCAGGATATATGTTTTTATAATTTTACCAGGTAAGGCCCACTGACCTATATTAGTTTTATTAGAAGCGACCTGGCTATCACAAATGATAGCTCAACGAAGTGGCTTATTATCGT